CAAATCTATCAAATTGATAAGCATTTTCTAATAATCGTTGTTTCATAAAGCCTGATTCTCATATGTCACCGACGGTCGGCGATGACTATTGTCGGTGATCACTGGAGAATAAAGTGCTTTGTTACTTCGTCAACGACCACAAACAATGCATCGCCGATCGTCGGTGACATATGAGAATCAGGCTTAAGGGCAAACAAAGATGTCGTGACGAGCGGATCTGGTACCGTAGGAACGCAGTGAAAAGTGATTGGAAGAGAACCACATTCAGTTTCCCAATTGTTTCGACATTGCTGGAATTCCTGCATGGGAGGAATGACCACAATAGGAAAATTGGAATCTGTCGGAGCCACTGTTGAAGTTTTGAAACATTCCTTGCAATTCGGTGCGGAACAGAAAAACTGAGGAAAACTTTCAAAACATAAAACTATCCACCCCTTTCCCTCTATAAAACTGTCTCTCTCCTGGTGTGGTCCCTGGACGATTTTGAATATCTCACGGGTTTAATTGGAGAACACAAAATGCATCTTGCCTGAAAAGGAGACTCCCTCTTATCTTCAGCATTTTAATAATTATCCCAGCCTCAAACTAGCTCACAAAATACATTTATAAAGTTAATTGATCTGCGGTACGATGCTGGCAGAAAGCCAAAAACCATTTTGTCTCCAATCTGTTAGAAATTTTCATAAACGTTCACAAAAAAAAGATACAAATATCAAGTTTACTCAGACCATGTTTTGATCCAGTCTCCAGACGATTATTGTTCTTGGCAGGGTTGGATAAATAACGTAGCCAAACACAGTCATCCCATTAGTTTTTAACAACCCTGGTACTTGGTATAATTACCTCCATGTTGATATCACACAAGACAACTTTAGGGATGTAAGACAAACACCGAAATAAGAATTTCAACAACAGTCAACAAAGTGAAATGATGAAATGGTTTGCAAAATTACAAATCTATACAAATTACATGCTGGTAGTAGGCTAATATTTAAATATTAAGCAATATTCTTGTCATTTGTACTTGTGTGGACCAGACACGTTCGAAGTTATAAAATTCTACCACTTGATGTTAGTTTGTTTACAAATAACCTATCTATAGTCAGCTTCAGTATATTAAATTATGATACCGACCATCTGTAGGGTTTCTAAATTCGCAATGTCGAGCGCATTAAAGATAAAAATACGACGTTTGAAACACGCCTAAGATATTCATTGTTGTGTTTTTTCGGGACCTTCTTTCTCATGAACATCAGATGTCTTGAACATAATATTATTCACATTTCAGAAAAGTTTTTACAATTTTCAAGTTACCCCTTCAGACTTTAAATATCTTCTTTTCCATGCAGCACATAAAATGTCCCGGTAATGTACATAGTTCTTGTAGTTCCGATATCTTTCTTTTTCATCAGCATCAGACGTTTTGACCATAATACAGTTACTATTAATTACTATAATTACTACCATTATTTCATAACCAGCACAATTACCATCAGCACCATCGTAGAGACCAGCACCATCACCACAATCATGGATGAGAACTATCACCACCAACATGACTGCAATCATCCCTACTATAATGAACATCTAGAACAACACCATTGCCATCAGTGACAATGTTTAAAGACTTGTTTCTTGCAGATGTATTCAAGATATCATCTTTGTTTTGTTTAACAAACTGTAACCCCAGTTAGGGAGGCAAGGGAGTGCTATCACTTGCCCAAGGTGAACTCCCAGACAAACGGAGGGAAGGAGGTGTCTTACTTCTCCATTCTAGACCAGCTCCAAGCAAAATCTAGCCGCTTCCCAAAAACAATGTTCTTGATGATAGTTGTTCATGTTATTGTTCACAAAATCCATTATTATCCTAACTGAAAAATCAATTCCAAAACATCTGTCGTTCATAACAAAATCTTTATCAACTAAGTCTTCTCCTATTGGTTTTCGTCTTCGTGTGAACGTGTTCATTTCAGTTATTTTTACGAACAAAGATATTCGCATTTTATATCCGCGAGACGACTTTACTCCGGTTAAAGAGAAGATTGACTACTCGCGCAAATTCGTCCGACAAAGCAACTGCACTTCGCTTAATATCGTCCAACAAAGGATCTGGTGGAATACACAGTCGAAGAAACACCATATCGCCTTTGTAGTCAGGAAAAGCCAGCACGTCCTCTTTTGGGGAAAGTTGAATTGTTTGGCTTGGCTTGGCCAAGTATCGTTGATAGGAAGTGCTGAGAATCGCGCCAGAGTCCATGTCAAAAAATATTATCAGGTGATGAGATAAAGTTAATACAATTCTACTCTTGTGAATACAAAATGACCGGCTCCAATAAGAAATGGGCTGGAATGCGGGAATTATATTTTGTAAATCACCAGTGTCCAGATCAATTATCTGACTCTCAGTGTCGTCCATGACTATTGACACTTTGGAATCATTGCTGAAAATTACGACATAAGGCGATCTGTCAGACCTTCCACCGTCATCTAATTCCTGGTTAAATCCTAAATGATCACGCCGATAAAAGACTTCATATGAAGTTGGGTTTTCGGTATTCTTTTTCCAAATATAACATTTATTCTCATTACAACCAGAGATAAAGGCACCACCAGGCGAGATTTCCACTTCCATCATAGGCTCAATTCCAGGCAAATTGACCATTACAGGACCATCAACATCTCTGACATCGAAAACTTTCACAGGTTCGCACATTCCGAGAGCAAAGCTGACAAAGCCTTCAAAAAAACCAACCTTTGAATCAAAGAAATGAGACCACGACATTAGCCTGAATTCATACAAGTTTTCAGAAAAGTTCTCTAGCACAACGTCCTGACTGTGAGTAAACACGATCTTTAAATTGTCATCTACCTGGTATCGCGTTAATTTGGGAATCTCGTCAATAAATTCACTAATCACAAACAAGAAATCTTCCGACCACCAGCATAAAAACATTGACCCACATGGACTCCTGTTGAAACGTTGTTCAACTTTGCTGGTATAGACATTCCATACGTTGATATATCCATCTGAGTTGCAGGATGCAAGTCGAGAGCCGTCAGGAGAAAACGAACTCGAATAAACTTCCGTTGGCTGTGACAGACAGGATTGCTCTCGTGTAGAAGCTAACGTCTTAAAGACAATTAGTTTTTCTTGAAATGAATAAAGCCACAGATTATCTTGTAAAGCTGTCATTTTGACTCGAGGAAAGAGAGGAGAGCAAGGAGAGGCAGCAACATAGTTCCGAGCAACAATCGCAGTCAAAGGAATACTTTCTGTGACACTCGAATAACAAAATTCTTCCGAAGAAAAAATACACTCCACACCTTTGCAGATCCACGGACACGACATTACACATATTCTTTTATATTTGTTTCCATGATAATCGCCATTTGACCTTATTTCTAAGTGTTTAGAATCTGGTTCCTCAAATCCTCGCTGAAGACATCGTTCACATTTCCTTCTCTTTAACACAACTGATTTCTCCCTTTTCCCGTGAGATAATTTTCGCTTATCACTTCTTTGCAATGTGATGGCGTTCCAAACACACAACGAATAACCCGGATAAGATGAAGATTCTGAATTTGCAATAATAAATAACCCTGTGACGCTAAAATAACACCAATCAACAGGAAATTCAGCACAAAGCGACGACAGCATTTTTTGTTTAGCAACGTCCCATAGTTTAATGGTGTCTGAATGGTTTCTAGTCACCAGTGTTTTGCCGTTAGGGGAAAATGCGCAGGACCAGAACGTCTCTTCATTCCCAGGGAAAAATGGGACTTCATTTCTTCCAGCAATGTTAAACGCCGTATCCAGTTTACCAAATAATATGAGCGAATCGTCTGGAGAAAATGTGCAGCATCGAATTCTTTCCAATTTTGTTGAATAATTCATAATTTCAACTAAAGTTGGAAGGGATATCACATGGATAAAATTCTTTCTTACAACTGCTACACTTTTCTCATCGTTAGATAAAGCAACAGCTCTAATACGATCAAAGTCATCGGGTTTCCAAACTGCTCGCGGCAAAACCGAAACTTCGTAAGAAATCGACTCGAGAAAAGGTGAAAGGTTTGATAGTAGCGTCTCCGCGATTTTCTTCTCATCATCGCTGAAATAACCTTCTGGAGAATGTGTAAGAACCGCTTGTAAATAACATTGTGAATGTGGTTTCGAAAAATATTTTTTTTGATACAGCCCCATGGGTCCCAGGGCATCATCAAAAGAGCCAAATTCAATGACATGGTACGAAATACGGGCGCGTAAATCTTCGTTTTTAATCAAAGAACTTTGGAGTAATTTAAGCCAGAAACGCTGCAATTCATTTGAATTGATTACAGTTAACATATAATATACGATAATAACATCAACTGACCAAAATACACCGTCCTCCATTTTACTATTTTCTAGATGTTCTAAACCATGTTTCAGAGCGTATTTTACGTCATTAGTAAAGTTCACCTCAAGTCCTGAGCGAACACCTTCCACAATTTCCTCAAAACCCTTTTCGCATAAAAGCCAAAGCAATCTATGTCCATCATCGACCTTGACAGTATACTGGTGATCTTTGTAACCCTTTGCGAGTAGCCAATCAATAACGGATTTGTGAAAAACGGTTAACATGTTATCTGAAACGTACAACAAGCACGATATGGTTTCATTAATTTTGTTGATGATGTCTTTCGTTTCGCGACAATCTGGAGCTAAACAAAAAGCCTGAGCGATGAAAGTGAGGGGAAGAGGTCCTTCGGAAGCTGCCAGCATTTCCAAAATTTTCAACACATCAAACTTTTCATGTTTTAAGTCACTAAGCTCGTCTTCTAGGCGTTTAAAATATCGTTCATAAACAGAATGCAGTCCTTCTGGGAGAAACTCCATGACGTCATCATTTGTTATCTTCTCAAGATCATAGCGAGCCCTTAGCCCAGATTGAAAGTGATATGCATAGAGAAATGAGCCCTGGCATTTGGCAACAAAAATGGAAAGTAAACTAATAGATTTATCCCATCTTAAGCGGTGAAGATATGGATACTCATACAAATCACGGCTCACTTCACTTTGATTTACTTCCCTGCCAACTAAACCTGGAAGACATTCTTTAAAATAAAGTTCAAGATCTGAGTTATTGTTGGCGTTAACATTCGCAATGTTCGTCTTTTGATCGTCTCTTAGTCTTAGATCAGCAACGGAAATCTCTGGCCTGCTCGTCACCAAGATTTTGATGCACTCGGGAAGATCAGGAAAATATTCAGCAATCAAATGAGTAATTTCATTCTTATTATAAGCAGCACTTTCATCCAAGCCATCGATCACGATTAAACGCGGCTCTTTTATTTCCAATTCAGCTAAGGGATTTTGTAAATATATTTGGAAGGCATCTCTGAGATTTTGGACTTGATGCGGTCGCTGTAATTGATCAAGGAGCTGCTTTTTAAAGCCAGGGACGCTCTTACACATCTGACTTGCGAGAGACTGCAACATCACCATAGGATCTCTAAGGTTTGAATCACTGAAATCACAAAAGTGACAAGCAGCCAGCTTTCCATTCTTCTCAAAATCTTCACAGATTTTAGCAGCAAACACGCTTTTACCAAATCCTGGTCCAGCTGTTATTAACTTTATTCTTGAATCACTCTCACTGCTACAAAACCACTCGTCAACTTCTTTTAACAACCACTCTCTTGTTCCAGGAAGGAAAAATTTTAATTTTCTTTGAATTTTATTCTTGAAATTATGTTTGGCAAGTTTTCTTAATACATCTTCACTATTCTCCTTGCATAATTTTTTTTCAGGATTGCCATCCTCGGGTATTGATAGCGTACGCTTGAGGGAAATTTGCGGGATCTCAGTGTCACTTTTCTTCAACAAAGACTGGCATAGTAGATTTACTCCATCGCGGGTTTGTTCAACGATTTGCGTCATTGTTGCAAGCATTTTAATACACTCATCTTCGTGCAGTTTCCAATCTTTAAGCTTTTGCACATACACTTCTTCTTCAGGCGCAAGAGGACATTTTTCTAAATCGTCGATATCACTCTGTGAAACGCCCAATTCCACTATCGCCAGGGCAATTTTCTTCCATAAAGATTGAAATGTTGAATTATCAACTCTGGTTGTTGTTACATGTGCAATAACTTCATTTCTGTAACACTTGATTCTTGTGATATTCGCCTGCGTTGCCCTATCAGTATCCGGAGGCATTACACTCCATCCTGTTGATGGAAAACCACAAATGTTCCGGAATAGAACTGTAAGCAATGTGACATCAAAGGTTTTGGAATCTGGTGGGTTGCCAGACGGAGGAAACAGTAAATCCCACTGGGAATTATTAATAACTCGAGGTTTTAACTTTTGAAGAGATGTTTTGTTTGCAGCCAGAACTCCGGGTAGACTAACAGGTAGATGGATGGTATCAAATGTATTTCTCAAAGCCTCAGTTCCTTTGCCAACTAAAAGTCTACTGAGTCTTGCAAAATTTGCTTTTTCTTGGAGATCGACAGAAGCCATTGCGTAGGACAGAGTAAATTACTGTAACAAAATGGTTTTACTAATTATATAGGTTACACCGAGAAGTCGCAAGGATCTTGTTAAACGAAGCGATTTCTTGTGAAAATAATTTTATGAAGAGACATATGTTTCAGGAGTAACATTTCTGACTCGCTACCACCCATATGACAAACTCACATGAACTTAATTTTAGAATTTCCATAAATATTCCGTTGTCTTATTTGTGTGTGGAAATGAGATTTCTCTTGATATTATAAATTTTGAAGGCATTTTCTCATTTATAGACATGGTATGAGCTAAATGTATTTTGATGCCAAATAATTTCTGAAAATATCTCTTGTATTTAAGATTTATTGAAGTTTTTTTATAAATTCCATTTAGTGCAAGCGAAAATTTTGAAATGCTGTTTCAGCCGACTCTCAATAATCTATTTTTTCGAATAACACTCATCCCATAAAACATCTCTCTTCTCAGACTAATGGCTGTGCTTCCTCAGCATGTAACCAGTTAAGCTGGATTATTATATTTTCGTAAGTCTTTGCAGTACTATCAGGCGCTCGAGTCTGTTTAAATATATAAGAATTTGTTTAAATATATAAGGATCGAGTTTGTTAAAATAAAACTGTATTTAGTCTCAGAAAAAACTAATCTGCCTTATTTGCTGTTTAGTGTTTGATAATTGTCATGTTTCAGCCCCTGAGCCTCGCAATCGTGTTATACTGTTAATATTCGAAGAACGTAATGACGTCACAGCTCTGTAGCTACTATGCCACTCAATAGAATACAATAGACACTCATACTGTTAATATTCGAAGAACGTAATGACGTCACAGCTCTGTACTATGCCACTCAATAGAATACAATAGACACTCATACTGTTAATATTCGAAGAACGTAATGACGTCACAGCTCTGTACTATGCCTCTCAATAGAATACAATAGACACTCTTACTGTTAATATTCGAAGAACGTAATGACGTCACAGCTCTGTACTGTGCCACTCAATAGAATACAATAGACACTCATACTGTTAATATTCGAAAAACGTAATGACGTCACAGCTCTGTACTATGCCACTCAATAGAATACAATAGACATTCATACTGTTAATATTCGAAGAACGTAATGACGTCACAGCTCTGTACTGTGCCACTCAATAGAATACAATAGACATTCATACTGTTAATATTCGAAGAACGTAATGACGTCACAGCTCTGTACTGTGCCACTCAATAGAATACAATAGACACTCATGTGTACTGTGCCACTCAATAGAATACAATAGACACTCATACTGTTAATATTCCCAGAACGTAATGACGTCACAGCTCTGTACTGTGCCACTCAATAGAATACAATAGATACTCATACTGTTAATATTCGAAGAACGTAATGACGTCACAGCTCTGTACTATGCCACTCAATAGAATACAATAGACACTCATACTGTTAATATTCGAAGAACGTAATGACGTCACAGCTCTGTACTATGCCTCTCAATAGAATACAATAGACACTCTTACTGTTAATATTCGAAGAACGTAATGACGTCACAGCTCTGTACTGTGCCACTCAATAGAATACAATAGACACTCATACTGTTAATATTCGAAAAACGTAATGACGTCACAGCTCTGTACTATGCCACTCAATAGAATACAATAGACATTCATACTGTTAATATTCGAAGAACGTAATGACGTCACAGCTCTGTACTGTGCCACTCAATAGAATACAATAGACATTCATACTGTTAATATTCGAAGAACGTAATGACGTCACAGCTCTGTACTGTGCCACTCAAAGAAACAATAGACACTCATGTGTACTGTGCCACTCAATAGAATACAATAGACACTCATACTGTTAATATTCCCAGAACGTAATGACGTCACAGCTCTGTACTGTGCCACTCAATAGAATACAATAGATACTCATACTGTTAATATTCGAAGAACGTAATGACGTCACAGCTCTGTACTGTGTCACTCAATAGAATACAATAGACACTCATACTGTTAATATTCGAAGAACGTAACCAACACTGACACAAACGTACCTTCTCAAAACTTCAAAGCGATGATTCCACTACATGGTCAAAATTCTCAGGAAGGATAACGGACAGATGGACTGAAATGTAGATTTAAAACCTAGAAAGAACAAATTCTGATTGTAACTTTAACCCACCCAATCAGCGGCTAGAATGTCATGTAAGTGTCACGTGGGATGCGTATTTATAATGGTAAATTGCACTGAGTGAAGTGCTGATGCGTCATTACAAAAATCTCACGACCACGAAGCGGGAGACCATATTATATTTCAGATCTTATACAAATCCTCAATTTTGTTTGATAGAATTAATATTATTATTACCGTTTAGTAAAACAAATCACTTCGCAGACCTAAAGTTGAAATACACATGATTTTGCAAATAAATAAAAAAGTAGGTATCATTAAGAATGTATTTATAATTTATAGCAAACATTTTAATAACTAGTTTAACTGTGGTTATACAAAAACTAACTATACATTCGGTTCGGTAATAGAATAAAAAAACCCATTAAAATTTAGCAAATTTTGATCATTCTTACTTCAAAGCTTTGTTATAATATAAGTTTTCTTAAATCTGTTGCCGTCTCATCTTGGAATTATGAAACAGTTTTGATTTTCAAGATTGTAAGTTTGTGGATATTTCGGAGATAAATATAACAAAACGTGGAAAACCCACTCATCTCATTATTTCTCGTTCTCCCAAACTTCCACGCGTGTTTCTATAACTGTATACATTACAGAAACATCACAGAACTTTACTCCCGTATATATAACCAACATCATCTGTTTCAGCCTCGTATCGTGGCTATTTAAGGAAACAAAACTAAATAATTACCGTCATTTTATAATAAGAATAATAACTTCTTATTAATCGAGCGCGAGGTCTTTACCGAGAAATATCGGACCGAGGTCTTTTTGAACAGAGTTTTTTCGGCAGTCGTTCAGATTGTTTGTGTGAATGTGTGTGTCTAATTCAATTGTTCGTTTGGTCGATTTTTAAAATTTCAGCTTCTTGAATTGAATCATTATACAGAACGCCCAATTCGAACCCTCGAATTCTTATAATTTATTATTCAAAATATTGACTGTATATTAAAATTTTAGGAAATTACTAAAAGATTAAATGATTTAGCTCTGTGCTGCGCCACAGAATAAACACGGGTACTCTTAAAAAAGGAAAGAATATGACCAACGCCGTGACAAATTCTCAAATTTTCAAAGCGATAATTCCACTACATGGCAAAGATTCCCCGGAAATATAACAAACAGATGTGCGGAAATGAAGACTTGAATCCTAGGAGGAAAAACTTTGTAATTCTCAATGTAATTTAAAACTACCATGCACCTTAGAATGTCGTGTGAGTGTCATGTAGTTATGGAATTTGTATTTTTAGGGGGACATTTTCATTAGCAGAAAGTTCATATTATCCATTTCATTGTAAAAAATGGTCGATTATAGTGTATAAAATAAATAATTCGTTTCTCGGAATGTTGAATTAGTTAATCCCGAAGTATTAATCCCACATCTTAAACTCTTCAATTGCAACCGTGTATATACAGAACGAAAGATTCAGGGTCTTTGGTATATATAAAATGAGTGGCAATAATCTGAAATATCTTAGAATAGTAGGTTTAAAGTGTATATGAAATGAAAATTTCGATATCGGGTTTTTTGCATTTTTTTAAAAATTTCGTCTTTTCCGATCATAAATATACCAACTTTGTCGAAAAATTCGAACTAGAAGTTTGTGAAATTTACGATTAAAGTTCGATTTTGAGACTATTTACTGGCGAAAGACTGGTACCTAGAATTTTGGCCCTTGTGACGTATGTAGTGTGACACGTCGACGTGTTTTAGTGTAGCAAAATAACAAAGATCACGCAATCACGCAAAGCTTTTTTAATATTGTGCGTAAAAAATGTCTGATAACGAAAGTTTCGAGTCACAGACGGAGACAGAAGGATCATCAGATAATGACGACATCACTGAGCAATCGTCTGTTGTTCAGCCTTACCAATTTGAGCCACTGGCAGATAGCGAATATGAGGAAGACGAAACGGACGAAGACGGTATTCTTCGCGAAACGTTTGAATCGAGATTTAAGTGAGATTTACCTGTTAACTCATGGAAAGTAATTTCATGAAAGTAATATTATTTTAGGCTGTTTAACCACAACCTTTTCCTCTTATTCGTCTGTATATTTTAAGGTGCACATGCGGACATTGTAGAGTAGAGCTGTTACAGGACGCCACAGAGAATCGATGTTGCAAAGAAATTCTCCAGTGCTCGGGCAAGTTTACGAATGAGGGCAAGGACGCAGCATGCATAACACAACATTGGGACTATGCTGTGGTCACACACCGGACAGTATTAGAGACTGCAGGAGCTTTTCTCTCCGACAAATCGGGGAAAAAATATCATAAGCCAACAAGCAGGACACAAGATCGGCAAAATGACTATGTACATTTGCAATGCTATTTATGTTCTCATATGTACAAAATAGTACTAATAGAGTCTTTTATCGATTTCGGCTATACACAACAAAAGTATATAATATCCTTGGTATTCGCGAACGTGGAATTAACGACTCACTGCTTGATTATTTAGGTATTCACGAGCGGTGGCATAGATGGGTGGTACATCAGACATCAGGGTCGCAAAACTCAGTAAAATATCACCAGCAGGATACTTTCCCAGGACCAATGGTTGACTCCTCTACGTAGCTATAACCTTTGCATGATTTGCATGTTTGTTCCACTATTGTCATTGATCCATGCATTTTGACATTAACACTTGGTGATTGTGCCTTGCATTCAAAACAGAACAATGAGAACAATGAAACCAACACACTGTAGAACACAATAAATTTTGGTTCACTATCAGCCGATCTAAAATGAAAGACAACTAATTATTTTTTAGAGTTCCGAAGAAAAACGCTTGTTGCAATATGTTATAAATGAAAAAAGACCAACCTCATATTGGCCGATGTATTTTTATCTTCCGTTTCGCCAAGCTCGTCATCATCTGATGCGTTAGCTTCTTCGTCCTCCATGTTCGCATTCCAGTCTGGATCTTTTGTTTCCTCTCTTAAATCATCATCCGAACTATTCCCCATTAATTCATCATCGAAATGACATGCTTCGTCTAAAATACCAATATCTTCACATGTTTCGTGTTCTGCTTCGTCAGTGCTGCTTTCTTCAGAGGACAAATCTTTTCGCAAATATTCAACTAACTAAAACGATAAACACAATAAATCAGTGAAATAATCAATCACATCCAGGTGGCCAAAACGCAAAAGTTAATGTTTTTACGAGATAAAATGGTGTTGCGTTATAATATAAGTAATTGGTTACAACAAACCTTTCGGAGGTTTATATTCTCTTTTCGCAACTTCAAATTACGCTTCCTTTGCTTCGATCGCAACTTCTGAAGCTTTTCAATTCTCTCCTGTTTTATGCTACAATTTACACACAGAGATTCATGACCCGTCTCTGAGATGTCACCCTCTGCTTCCCCCTCCTTTTTCTGCATAAGCTCCTCAATGCTCTCGCTTAACATTTCTGCCTCATTGCGACACTTGACTCGTCACTTATTTTGTGGGCCGATGACACTGCTTTGACTGCTTCAAGACTGGATAATTCACCTGTGCAACTTGTTGATGGAAATAGCTGATCCCGGAATATCTGCACGAGCAAGTAAAATCAAGAGTAACTAAAATCTTTCAATTCAAATTGCAAAAAAGCTTTGATCGACTATGACAAAGCAACTGTTTGGACACAATATTTCAAATAGGCAAATGAAGAATGTTTTGCTGCATAGAATATCTCCAGACTCACCCTTCTTTTCGTACGCGATGTCGCTGGTAATTCTTCGAGAACAACCGAATCTTTTGTTGGTACAAACGCTTCTAATAAATATCTGGCCTTTGCTTTCAGCTCGTCCGGAACGTCAATGTGATATCGTGTTCCGAAGCAAGATTTCTCAAAGTGTGCTGAGCATATTACTGAAGAACTCGTAGGAGTAAAATTCGGCCGATGTTTTCGCACGAATTTTACCCAAATTTTCTTCTGTTCTTCATTTGCGGGAAACTTATGCATCGATATCCCCTCAACGTGATATGTATTCATGCAACTGCGCAATCCAGGAGCTCCGCAGACGCAAAATTTCACCCTCTTCGCTCTCTTCGTGCTGGAAGCCATGCTTGTTGAATTCAAAATGCTTAGTAACTCATAACGCAGTGTTTTTATAGGGCAAGATTGTACCGATTGCGTGCGAGTGCAGGTTTGAATGTTGTGACGTGAGGGAAATGCGGTAGCCAAGCCTAGATGCACTGTGTCACTGTGTCTGTCGCGCAAAGCAAGCACGCAATTCTAGCTGATGTTTTCTAAGTAGAGGTGAGAAAATACTAATCAAATTCCGGTTTATTTTAAGTGCAAAAACACGCAATGTGAGCATCACGAGTGATTGTGAGTGAACGCAAATTATACACTGGCGGTCAAAAAGAACTGCTCAAAACAAGTCTGTTAAAATGCTTTCAAATGAACGCAACTGTCCCTCTAACAATATATACGAATAAATATAGACTAGATTACATGCTAAGCAATATGAAATATTAATACTTTGTTGACCCTCCTTTGGCCTTATAATTGATGATGGCCTTACACCGGCGTGGCATACTTTCTGTTAAGGTGGTAATCTTAATGGTCAAAAGAAATTTATCCTATGGAATGGCTTTACAGCAACGCATAAATCATGGACGCTTCATGAATTAATTCCTTTCTTGCACTATCCCTTTCACATTCTCCCGCAGATTTTCAATAGGGTTAAGGTCTTTTGACTGTGCAGTCCAATCCATTTCTGTCATTCCCTCTTCATGAAACCATTGTTTGACTATATCTTGGAAGTGTGGCAGGTTGCATTACAAAAATTGAAATATTGTTTGGAATAAGAAAATTATCCAAAATGTCTATGAAGCTCTCTCCTATATTCGCTTCTTTTTTATCAATTTGTATCTGAACAGTTCTTTTTGACCGCCAGTGTACAATAAAAGATTGATTGTTACGATTCCTGTTATATACGATAATAGCAACATTTGAGCAGTTCTTTTTGACCGCCAGTGTATGATAAGTATATCGCGTTTGAAGCAGTTACAAATTCCATAACATTAATTATGGTATACCATGCACGCGTATGCGGTGTAATGTCAATATGGTATGATGTCAGTAATATAGATAGATACCCTACATATTCAGTCCTAATGTAGATATTTCGTATTCATTTTAGTAATGCAATTTTCTAGTATTAGTTACTACTCTACATTGTTTACAATAGTTGATATCATACTTTTACATAATATGCGGTATGTATGCGGTACGTCTGAAACCTCAAGATGCGGTATATAGTCTCTCGCGGCATAAAAAGTGCATTTTTGGCTGCTACGATTCTTCATGTTGTAATTATATTCTGTCTATAAATTAAAATTCGTGACTACAAAAAGCGGATTCGTCAAAATCACTCCGGTATCCCAATTCTACATAGACGCAGCTATATAACATCGCAGTAATACATATCAAAAGATCGAGCTGTGTCACACTTCCTACGTCATTGGCCGCGCGATGGAATGTTAGGAGTTTCAACAGTAAAGAGTCTAAAAATCGAACTTTAATCGTAAACTTCACAAACTTCTAGTCCGAATTTTTCGACAAGGTCGGTATATTTATGATCGGGAAACACGAATTTTTTAGAAAATGCAAAAAACCAGATATCGAAATTTTCATTTCATAAAAAATTTTTCAGTATCAGTACCACACAAGGCCACAACGCGACGAAGCGCTGTGCAGTGCCAGGCATTTAATAATGCAAGTTTATTCAATACGACGCCACAGCGCTGTTCCGCACCTACATGCACATACAACCAACTATGTCTACTTTACCGTGTTGTTGATAAATCATTTATAATCACAAACGTACTAGTTCAAAATTTAGAATGTGATAATCTACATGGGCAAAACCATATGTAGACGAATATGTCGAACATAAACAAAATCGCGCCTTACTTATATAAGTGCATCGAAAATGGGAAAATATCCTGGAAAATATTTATGTGGCAAAAAGCGCGTGTACAAGAGCTGTTTTCTGGTTAATACCCTGTATTTATAATAACAGACGGATGATGCGTCTCTATAGTCACACGAGGGTCTTAATTCTTAAACTGTAGTCTGAAAATTTGTTGCTGCAGGATACGACTCCAAAGGCATAGGAGGGTCGGTAACATCATATTATTCTGGCGATGAGTTAACAATTTCGGAATTGTATTCCTTATGTTTAAAGAAGCGAGAAATGTGCAATGTATTTCAAGTATCACTATCACACGAGTATACTGACAACGCCGCCATTTCGGCATTGTGGCCAATATTTGGCCATCATGCAGATAGACTAGCAACTACGTTTACGAGTTTAAAATCATGCGCGAAAATTTAAAAGCATGTCTCTTTTTATCGCAATGTGGAATCATAAATCAACGAATCATAAATCACATCTCAAACGCCTGAAACCTCACTTTAAGAACATTGAAAGGAAGAAAAACCCAAAATTTCAATTTGCAATTTTATTTCAGGCGCCACAGACAAAGCGCTGTGTTGCAACAAGACCTTATACGACTGTGACGACTTCACTGTGTTGATGACATAAAATCATTTATACTCTTCAAAAAACACGACTAACACTGACATAAACGTACCTTTTCAAATCATGAAAGCGATTATCTCAATACATGGCTAAAATTTCACACAAATGTACCAAAATTCGCATAAGATACTCACGATGTAGATATATTTAAACCAACACGGAAACTGATTGCAATTTAAAACCTCACAAACACTCAGAATCTCAGTAGAGATTTCATCACACGCATTGTTGACAGAACGTCATGAATCATACTTTAAATAAAAATATTATCTTGTGCAGGGATCAGCCATGACGGTGTTAGGGAAGCTGGAAATTTTTTTATAAACGCGCAATGGCTCGTTTAACTTGGCTGAGAATTTATGTTGTGTTAATACAGAAATGACTGTTCTAATGAATTCTGGTTTACAGAGAAAATGCCTCTGGTTAATCACACTGAATAAACCAAACTGACCATGGTCATTGGTCATAAATGCAGGGCTAGTCTATGAAAATATAAACAAATTGAAGTTTATAAGAAATACAATTACTGTCATGAAGACCACCCAACCACCCTAGAGACGACACCTCAGTATTTACTTGCAACATTTCACTTGCAATCTGTGATTCTGGTCTAATAATGTTTCTGTGACAAATATTGATTTCCAAGGCTACATGAAATGTCATTATGTAAAATAATCAACTAAACCATAGAAAACTCTGTCAAACATTAGCTGGGATTGCATTGTGCAACTAAAGTATTGCTGAACTGACAGATAATTTATTTCAGTGATTGACAGATATTGTTGTACCAGATGGACTGATCAATGACTGACCAGTGTATTTGTTAAAATACTTTTGGTTGGAACAGATGGTGAAGTCTAAATACATAGTTAACATGATAGCCAGAGGATGACTTTTTATCAATTAGCTGTATACAAGCTGGTATTATACATGAGAAAGAAACCATAACAATAAATGCACATAGTGTAAAATGTGATGGCAAGTGGATGTAAGATTAATAGAACTGGAAAACTTCAATTATGATTTATAAATTTAGTAAAATATATCTCAGTTATTTATATGTGATATTGGCACTGATATAACATATATTGTCTGACCATGATCAGGTGGGTTTTAGCTATAAAACTTAATACCATTAAAAGTTGCATGAAGAATATATTATCCAGTTCCAGGATGGTTTCCGAACAATTTTCCTAACACTGCGTCGAATAAAACGTTTGAAATGGACATGTAAGAAATGAATGAAATGATTATATTCCCCCTGAAAAATATTTCTGGACTTTGGTCTAAATAAATTAGTGAATGTTTTAAAATTGATTTCCTGTGTTATAAAAACTAGGGGAGAATTATATAAATTGAAAATTAGATGTGTTTTAATACGACCATTTTATAGCAGAACTCGTGAAACAAAACTATAGCGCTGACTGGTGTATTATTTTGCATACGATATTAAATACAAAACGTTGAAAAATAAATTCCTCCCGTACCCAGCTAAATCAGATTGTGAATATTTTTGTTGACTAGCAATATATATATATAAGCAACAATATGCAATATACTACGTGAAACACCAATATAAACCAAAACATCCGGTCAAAATATTGTAATATGAAACAAAATAGACAAGGACGCATTCGTATATCGCGATATGACAGAAATCTCACCAGGAATCTAGCACATACCTTCGACAATCTGGTTTTGTGTTACTGGTCTGTATTGCCACGACTAGCCCAAAGCCGTATGTCTTTGTTTTTGTACTTGTATGCGTCGATAAACCTTGTTAAAACAACTTCAGCTTTCTCAATGAATACGTTGATCACCCACGACGAATCAGGATCACTTTGGGAGCTTTTAGTCCGAGAATACGATCATTTTGAGAAATAACGAACACAGACTTTGAAGAAATACAAAGACTCAAAGAGAACAGGAACAGGGTGAGGTTTTGGGTGTGGCCACTGATCTATATCGCGTCGCGAACTGAAGTTACAAAACTGGAACGATATCTCCAAATTACTTTTTTTTAGTAATTTAAGTGAGTATAACAACAAATCCTACATATTGATCACCCTTGGAACGAAGTTGCATATGGATTGGTCGAATTTGACGTATTAGGCTGTTATATTCAGAGATAAGCGAACAAATGCAGTTCTTGCGTCAATTCACTTGTGAAAAAATACTAAAACAATTATTCCCGGATAGTCAACGAGCCAAAGGCGAATAATTGTTAAATATCCTATTATTGAATTATTTGTATATTTTTTAAATTGCTCATAATGGTACTGGGTGAGGTTTTGGGTGTGGCCACTGAGCTATATGGCTCTGCGAACTGAAGTTACAAAACTGGAACGATATCTCTATCATTTTTATGTCCTATTATTGAATAATTTGAATATTTTTTAAATTGCTGATAATTGCGGGTAGCCGTTCAAAAAATACCGTCTTTAAAAATATTGGTGAGAGCATCGAGAAATTCAGTTAATAAGATCGAGGCCTTGGGGAATAATTTAAAAAATCACACTTTTTTAAACCTACAGTTTTAAATTTAAGTCCGAATGTGAAAAGATTTAATTTACCTTTTTTACTATTCTAAACACTGCTTTCCAGGTACGCGTTTTTTTTCATACGCACGTTACACATGGAAGTCTAAATCATTATACATGTTATCTCTGAAAATATAAATAAATTGAAAGAGTTTTCTGCAAATTTTAACAAATAATAAAAAAGGCATTTTTACGTGGGTTTACGTGCATATAAAGAACGCTTAAAGCCCCGTTCACACGGTACTGGATTGCCATCAGGTCAAATTTTGAAGCTAATGAAAGACCGCGATATTTTTTAATGTCTGAGCCCTGAATAAATATACCAAATCTATGAAATTAATAAGCATTTACTAATAATCGTTGCTTTATAACGGCAAACGAAGATGTCGTGATGAGTGGATCCGGTACCGTGTGACGCAGCTTAAGTGGAAGACAGCCTTAAGAAGCCAGGCAATAAAAAAGTGATTGAAAGCGAACCACATTGTTTCGACATTGCTGCAATTCCTGCATGGGAGAAATTACCACAATAGAAAAATTCAAATCTATCGGAGCCACTGTTGCAGACATCTTAAAAACAACTTAGGGGATGTTACCAAACACCGAAATAAGAAATTTCAACAACAAAGTGAAAGCACGAAATGGTTTGCCAAAAATTTTTTCTACAAAGTACAAATTTACAATATATGCTGGTATTCAGCTAATATTTAAATATTCAGCAATATTCTTGTCATGTGTACTTGTGTGGGCCAGGCACGTTCGAAGTCATAAAATCCTATTTTACCACTTGATGTTAGTTTGCTTACAAATAAGCTACTTATAGTGTTAAATAAAAATCTAAGCTTGAGTATATTAAATTATGATACCGACCATCTGTAGGGTTTCTAAATTCGCAATGTCGAACGCATTAAAGATAAAAACACCACGTTTGAAACACGCCTAAGATATAAATTGTTGTGTTGTTTCGTGATCTTTTTCGTGATTATCATGCAGATGTCCTGAACATAATATTGCTCACATTTCAGACAAATCTTTACCATTTCCCAGCTCCGCTTCAGACTGTAAATATCTTCCTCTCCAGCTAAAAACTATACGGTCCTTGTAATGTACATAGTTCTTGCAGTTCCATTAAGGGCGTAATTTAGAACGATAATTGAGGTGGTGTTTATTCATATATTCAGTTCTACTCGACGGATCTAAGCTCAGCGTTTCCACAACTTATTTGCATAAGGCTGTCCTCATGGGGAGATGGTAATGAAAAAGAGAGAAACAAAATACGTTTGAAAAGAATGCATAATATATCCTATTAAGACTAACCCTCCCTCCCTCATGGTTGACATTTTGAAGGAAATTTCCTTCAATTGTGGAAACGCTGTCTAAGCTACTGCACTTACAAAGGAAATCTGTCAGGCAGAACTGAATATATGAATATTCAACACCACCTCCCCCCCCCAAATTTTCGTTCTAGTGCTTGACGTCACTGAGTTCCGTTGTCTTTCTTTTTCATCAGCATCAAACTTCAGGAACAAAATACAGAAAATATAGTTACTGCAATTTTTACCATTATTTTCATCACCAGCACAAGTATATCAGCACCATCGTAAAGACCAGCACCATCACCACCATCATAGATGAGAATTATCACCACCAACACGACGGTAACTACCATAATTGACATTTTGAACAACACCATCATACGACTGGCATTGGTCACAGTTTTTTAAAACTTTTTTCTTGCAGATGTATTCAAGATATCATCTTTGTTTTGTTTAACAAACTGTAACCCCAGTTAGGGAGGCAAGGGAGTGCTATCACTTGCCCAAGGTGAACTCCCAGACAAACGGAGGGAAGGAGGTGTCTTACTTCTCCATTCTAGACCAGCTCCAAGCAAAGTCTAGCCGCTGCCCGAAAACAATGTTCTTGATGATAGTTGTTCATGTTATTGTTCGCTAAATCCGTTATAAAATATCCCAACTGAAAATCAGCTCCAAAACATCTGTCGTTCGTAGCAAAGTCTCTATCAACTAGGTCTTCTCCTATTGGTTTTTGTCCTCTTGTGAACGGGTTCATTTCAGTTAGTTTTATAATAAAGACATTCTCATTTAATGGGTATAAACAACCTGCAGGGAAACAAACATTTAAGAAAATATACAGCTTTGTGTAAATTTTCCAAAAACTTTTTCCGCGAGACGACTTTCTTCCGGTTAAAGAAAGGATTGAGTACTGCATCTTGCTAAATATCGTCCATTAAAGGAAGTTACAGTAGTTTATTAATATCGTCAAACAAAGGAAGTTCTCGTTGTCTAATATCGTCCAACCAAGCAACTGCTAGTTGCTTAAAATCGTTCAACAATGGATTTTGTGGAATAGACAGTCGAAGAAACACCATATCGCCTTTGTAGTCAGGAAAAGCCAGCATGGTCTGTTTTGGGGAAAGTTTAATTGTTTGTCCTGACTCATGAACCTTCAAGTATGGTTGAAAGCAATGGTCGAGAATCGCGCCAGAGAACATGTCATGAATTGTTATCAGGTGATCACGTAAAGTTAATACAATTCCTTTCTTGTAAATAAAAAATGACCTGGTTAACCAACGAGCGGAATTGAATCTTGACGCTATATTTTGAGAATAACCAAATTCCAGATCAATTATCTCACTCTCTTTCTCTCTCACTCTGTTAACGACTACTGCAACTTTGGAGTCATTACTGAAAATTACTGCGACTTCGGGATACATAATGACAATTCTGTCTGAGTCACTGTAAAATCTTAAACCATCACGGTGATAAAAGACTTCATACGAAGTTGGTTTTTCGGTATTTCTTTTCCAAATATAACATTTATCCTCATTACAACCAGAGATAAAGGCACCACCAGGCGAGATTTCCACTTCCATCTCAGGTCCAATTCCGGGCAAATTGATCATTACCGGACCATCAACATCTCTGACATCGAGAACTTTCACGGGTTCATTCCTTTCGAGAGCCGAGCTGACAAAGCCTTCAGAAAAACCAACCTTTGAATCTGGTAAATCAAACCAGTCCTCTAGCCTGAATTCAGACAAGTCTTCATACAAGTCCTCTAGCGCCACGTCCTGACTGTCAGTAAACACGATCTCTAGATTGTCATCTACCGGGTATCGCGTTAATTTGGGAATCCCGTCAATAAATTGACTAATAACAAACAAGAAATCGTCCGACCACCAGCATAAAAAGATTGAACCACATTGACTGCTTTTGAAACGTTGTTCAACTTGGCTGGTATAGACATTCCATACGTTGATATATCCATCTGAGTTGCAGGATGCAAGTCGAGAGCCGTCAGGAGAAAACGAACTCGAATAAACTTTCGTTGGCTGTGACAGACAGGATTGCTCTTGTTTAGGAGCTAATGTCTTAAAAACAATTAGTTTTCCATTATCTGAATAGAGAGACAGATTATCTTCTAAAGTTGGTATTTTGATTGCACGGAAAGAAGCGTCAGGAGCAGCAACAAGATAGTTCCAAGCAACAATCGCAGTCAAAGGAATACTTTCTGTGAAACTCGAATAACAAAATTCTTCCGGAGAAAAAATACACTCCACACCTTTGCAGATCCACGGACACGACATTATACATTTTCTTACATGTGTTCTGATTATGTCATCAGAATTCCTCGAATCTATCCGAGTTACGTCATATGACCATACATCTAACTGTTTAGAATTTGGTTCCTCAAATCCCCGCTGAAAACATCGTTCACATTTCCTTCTCTTTAACACATCTGGTTTCTCTCTTTCCCCGTGAGATAATTTTCGCTTATCACTTCTTTGCGATGTGATGGCGTTCCAAACACAAAACAAATAACCCGGATAAGATGGATATTCTGAATTTCCAATAATAAATAACCCTGTGACGCTAAAAGAACACAAACGAACACGAAATCCAGCACGAAGCGACGACAGCAATTTTTGCTTAGCAACGTCCCATAGTTTAATGGTGTTTGAAGCATCGCTAGTTACCAGTCTTTTGCCGTTTGGGGAAAATGCACAGGTCTCGAACGTCTCTTCATTTCCAGGGAAAAATGGAACTTCCTTTCTTCCAGCAATGTGAAACGCCGTTTCAAGTTTACCAAATAATATGAGCGAATCGTCTGGAGAAAATGTGCAGCATGGATTTTTTTCCAATTTTGTTGAATAATTCATAATTTCAACTAAAGTTGGTAGAGATAGCACATAGATAAGATTCTTTACTACAACTGCGACACTTTTCTCATCGTTGGATAAAGCAACAGCTGTAATATGATCAAAGTCACAGTGTTTCCAGACTGCTCGCGGGATAACCGAAACTTCGTAAGATTTCCACTCGACAAAAGGTGAAAGGTTTGGTAGTAGCGTCTCCGCGATTTTCTTCTCATCATCGCTGAAACAACCTTCTGGAGAACGGGTAAGAACCGCTTGGAAATACCATTGTGAAAATATTGTCGAATAAACTTGTTTTGAATGTTTGTAATAGACCATTAAGCGTCTCACGGCATGTTCCATACGGTCAAATTCAATGGCATGGTACGAAATGCGGGCGCGTAAATCTTTGTTTTTAATCCAGGAGCATTGCAGTAATGTGAGCCAAAAACTTGCCAAATCGCCTGAATCGTTTACAGTTAACATATAACATACGATAACAACATCAACTGACCAAAACACACCTTCCTCCATTTCACACTTTTCTAGATGTTTTAAACCATGTTTCAGAGCGTATTCCACGTCATTAGTGAACTTCACCTTAAGTCCTAAGCGAACACCTTTATCTTTGATTTCTTTAAAAATCTTTTCGCATAAATGCCAAAGCGATCTATGTCCATCATCGACCTTGACAGTATACTGGTGATCTTTGTAGCCCTTTGCTAGAAGCCAATCAATAAAGGATTTGTGAAAAACGGTTAACATGTCATCTGAAACGTACAACAAGCACGATACGGTTTCATTAATTTTGTTGATAATGTCTTTCGTTTCGCGACAATCTGGAGCTAAACCAAAAGCCTGAGCAACGAAAGTGAGGGGAAGAGGTCCTTCGGAAGCAGCCAGCATTTCCAAAACTTTCAACACATCAAACTTTTCATGTTTTATGTCGCTAAGTTCGTCTTCAAGGCGTTTAAAATATCGTTCGTAAACAGAATGCAGTCCTTCTGGGAGAAACTCCATAAAGTCATTATTTGTTATCTTCTCAAGATCATAGCGAGCCCTTAGCCCAGATTGAAAGTGATATGCATAGAGAAATGAGCCCTGGCATTTGGCAACAAAAATGGAAAGTAATTTAATTCGCCACAATCGGCAAAGATATGGATGATCCTCATAGAAATCATCGCTCATCTCACTTCCATCCACTTCCCTGCCGACTAAACTTGGAAAACATTCTTTAAAATAAAGTTCAAGATCTGAGTTATTGTTGTCATCAACATTGGAAATGTCTATCTTTTGCTCGTTTCTTAGTCTTAGATCAGCAACGGAAATCTCTGGCCTGCTCGTCACCAAGATTTTGATGTGCTCGGGAAGATCAGGAAAATATTCAGCAATCAAATGCGTAATTTCATTCTTATCATCAGCAGCACTTTCATCCAAGCCATCGATCACGACTAAACGTGGCTGTTTTATTTGCAATTCATCTAAGGGATTTTGCAAATATATTTGGAAGGCATCTTTGAGGTTTTGGACTTGATGAGGTCGCTTTAACTGATCAAGAAGCTTCTCTTTAAAACCAGGGACATTCTCACACATCTGACTTGCGAGAGACTGCAGCATCACCATAGGATCTCTTAGATTTGAATTACTGAAATCACAAAAGTGACAAGCAGCCAGCTTTCCATTCTTCTCAAAATCTCCACAGATTTTAGCGGCAAACACGCTTTTACCAAATCCTGGACCAGCTGTTATTAACTTTATTCTTGAATCACTCTCACTGCTACAAAACCACTCGTCAACTTCCTTTAACAACCACTCTCTTGTTCCAGGAAAGAAAAAATTCACTTTTCTTTGAATTTTATTTTTGAAATTATGCTTAGCAAGTTTTCGCAATAAATCTTCATCACTTTCGGTGCGGGATTTTTTTTCAGGATTGGTGTGAGACTGGCGGATTTTATTTATTTCGTCACGGTTTTCTTCAGCGATTTGTGTTACATTATTTACAGAACATTCAATTGCTGCAAGTTTTTTATTGCACTCGTCTTCTCGCAGTTCCCAATCTTTAAGCTTTTGCACATACATTTCTTCTTCAGGCCCTAGAGGACATTTTTCTAAATCGTCGACATCACTCTGTGAAACGCCCAATTCTACTATTGCCTGGGCAATTTTCTTCCATAAAAATTCAAATTTTGAATTGTCAACTCGAGTTGTTGGTACATGTGCAATAACTTCATTTCTGTAACACTTGATTCTTGCGATATTCGCCTGCGTTGATCTATCAGTATCCGGAGGCATTACACCCCATCCTGTTGATGGAAAACCACAAATGTTCCGGAATAGAACTGTAAGTAATGTGACATCAAAGGTTTTGGAATCTGGTGGGTTGCCAGACGGAGGAAACAGTAAATCCCACTGAGAATTATTAATAACTCGAGGTTTTAACTTTTGAAGAGATGTCTTGTTTGCAGCCAATACTCCGGGTAGATTAACAGGTGGATGGATGGTATCAAATGTATTTCTCAAAGCCTCAGTTCCTTTGTCAACTAAAAGTCTACTGAGTCTTGTAAAATTTGCTTTTTCTTGCAGTTCGTCAGAAGCCATGGCATTAGACAGGGTTAATTACTGTAACAAAATGATTGTACTATAATTATATAGGCTACACTGAGAAAAAGAATGGGATGGAGTAGATTTTCATAAAAGAAAGTCGCAAGGATCTTGTTAAACGAAGGGATTTCTTGTGAAAATAATTTTGTGAAGAGATATATGTTTCAGGAGTAACGTTTCTGACTTGCTACTACCCATATGACAAACTCACATGAACTTAATTTTAGAATTTTCATAAACATTCTGTCTGTCTTATTTGTGTGGGGAAATGGGATTTCTCTTGATATTATAAATTTTGAAAGCCTGTTCTCATTTATAGACATGGTATAAGCTGAATGTATTTGATGCCAAATAATTTTTGAAAATATCTCGTGTATTTAAGATCTATTGCTACTCGATTTCCTCATTTCCGATTGTAAACTGTCGTTGAAGTCTTTTTATAAATTCCATTTAGTTCAAGTGAAGATTTTGAAAAGCTGTTTCAGCCGACTCTCGATCATTTATTTTTACAAATAACACTTCATAAAACATTTCCCTTCTGAGACTACTGGCTGTGCCTCCTAAACATGTAACCACTTAAGCTGGATTATTATATTTTCGTAAGTCTATGCAGTACTTTTAGGCACTCAGGGATCGAGTCTGTTAAAATAAAAGTGTATTGATCGATCCTTAGTCTCAGAACAACTAATCTGCCTTATTTGCTGTTTAGTGTTTGAATATTGTCAGGTTTTAGCCCCTGAGCCTCGCAATCGTGTTATGAATTATTTCTATATTGGTTACCGGTTCATTTAACATGACGTCACAGCTCTGTACTATACCACTTAATAGAATACAATAGACACTCATACTGTTAATATTCGAACAACGTAATGACGTCACAGCTCTGTACTATGCCACTCAATAGAATACAATAGACACTCATACTGTTAATATTCGAAGAACGTAATGACGTCACAGCTCTGTACTATGCCACTCAATAGAATACAATAGACACTCATACTGTTAATATTCGAAGAATGTAATAACGTCACAGCTCTGTACTATGCCACTCAATAGAATACAATAGACACTCATACTGTTAATATTCGAAGAACGTAATGACGTCAAAGCTCTGTACTATGCCACTCAATAGAATACAATAGACACTCATACTGTTAATATTCGAAGAACGTAATGACGTCACAGCTCTGTACTATGCCACTCAATAGAATACAATAGACACTCATACTGTTAATATTCGAAGAACGTAATGACGTCACAGCTCTGTACTATGCCACTCAATAGAATACAATAGACACTCATATTGTTAATATTCGAAGAACGTAACCAACACTGACACAAACGTACCTTCTCAAATCTTCAAAGCGATGATTCCACTACATGGTAAATTCTCAGGGAGGATAACAGACAGATGTACTGAAATGTAGATTTAAAACCTAGAAAGAACAAATTATGATTGTAACTTTAACCCGCCCAATCAGCGGCTAGAATGTCACGTGAGTATCACGTGGGATAGGTATTTATGATAGTAATTGCACTGAGTGAAGTGCTCATGCGTCATTACAAAAATCGCACGACCACGAAGCGGGAGACCATATTTATATTTCAGATCGTATACAAACCCTCAATTTTGTTTTATTGAATTAATATTATTATTACTGTTCACTAAAACAAATCACTTCGCAGCCCGAAAGCTGAAATACACACGATTTTCGCAAAAAAATAAAAAGTAGGTATCATTAGGAATGTATCTATAATTTATAGCAAACATTTTAATAACTAGTTTAACTGTGGTTATATAAAAACTAACTATACTTTCGGTTCGGTCATAGAAAAAAGACTTTGTTTTTGTGTTCAGTTTCTCGCTTTAATCTATTCATTTTCCCAACCTTGCATGAGATCGGTCACGCTAAAATCAACGATGCATTTAATTCACTGCGCGCAGTGAAATATTTGTCACCTTTAGGGGTCGCGCGTTGCTCCCAGTATGCATTATTTTCCCTGAAACTTTGACAGTTTATTAAAAAGCTTTCCTACTTTTAGACAGCTAAATAATATCTCAATTTCAGCTTCACATTTTCGCGCGCAAGCCCTCTCAATATCATTGGAAAGTAACCACCCCCCCGATAACATAATTTTGTTAATGCAAAACCAAACTTGGCCTAGATAAGTCTTAAAGTGCTCCTGGCAGAAAAATGAATTTTATATTTTTGAAATCTTCGTGAAACGTAGATAATGAAAATAGAAATCATAATTGAATTTGAGGTTTTTTTTCGCTGAGTTATAGAGCAATGAAATTCAAAATTTTTGAATTTTAACGGCAAAAGTTTTTTAAAACCGCGAAGCCGGAAAACTGGTAACTAATACGTCACAGTAGGATCCGGTTTGGGCATTCGGCTTATACATAAACATATAGATAGTATAGACAGATATAGTATAGAACGAGATATTTGCGATTGAACTTGTACAAAACTCTCGTACAATACTTCTGAAAATGTCCTCATCAAGCTCAGATGCGGAAAGTAATAGCTATCAAAGCGACGACTCAGATTGGAATTATATTCCCGGTCCATATATAATAAAGAAACAGAGCGAAGCGGCTGCGAATATAGACGACCAAACTACAGACGAAACATCAGAACTTGGTCCGTATGCCAATGAACCGGCGGCTGACGAAGAGTGGCTCGCTAACTACCGTGAAAAAAAGCAAACTTACGACGAGCGTTTAAAAGAATTTCAACGGAGACTTGATGGTATCGAAGAATTAGATAAATGGTATATTTCCCCGCTTTTATATTTGCGTGTCTTTGCTTTGCGTGACTTAGTTTGCGTGACTTCGCACAGGGTACGATAACTACAGATTTTATTTCAGGTGTAAGTGTGGCAACTGTCGGATTGAACTCCTTCACAATGCTAAAGAATGTCAGTGTTGCGTAGAAATCGAAGAGTGTGAAGAAGCGCTGAATAGCGAGCTTGTCATGCAGCCAGGGTGAATTTGAGGGTACGCTTTCGAAAGATCTTCGGCGCAGAACAGCAACTCGTGTAAAATTTGGCGTTCGTTTTTGGCGCAAATTTGTTCCCAACATTGACTTGGCGCAGCAATTTGGCGTAGATTGATCTCAAAGATTCATTTGGCGCAGGAAGATGGCCATATCTGGCATATCTGCCTGGTGGAACCGAATAAAAATTCAATTCGGCACAGTGAGTGTGGACCAAACAGTCACCAAACACAAACAGTGCGGCCAAATTTGAAATTTCGGAAAATTCGATAAAATTATCGGAGTTTCCCGAAACCCGCAAATTTTTTCCCGATTAAGATTTCCGGTAAAAACTAAGGACGCCCTTTTTGAAAAGTGTTAGTTCCTTTTTCGTGAATTTTTCATTATTTTTGTGAAGACTCAAGAGTTCAAGCCTTCAAGGTACGTTTTTCTTTTTCTTTAAAACATGAAGAATTTAATCGAAATTCGAAAGTTGAGTTAACGCTCAGTGTCGTAGCCAGCGGCCAGCCCGACAATTTATTCATAATTCATGCTATGCTAATATTTTGGTGTTCATTGACTGTAAAAACAATGAATTTCTAAACAAATGAATAATGATATTAAACAAAAACATTAAAACTGTGATACATTAATTTCAATACAAAAGTTTTGATAATATATTATGTAATTAATTCTAATTATGAGTTTTTTATGATCAGGCTGAAATTAATTTCTGGCCAGGACAATGTTGTGACTCATCCTGATCTTTCCTGAGAGCAACCTTAGTGTGAAATCTCAACCGCATACAACTCATTTTTATAAGTTTGTAACTTTAAATTTTGTCACTCTAATATCATGATGCTTTATGAACTATATTGCTTTTTTAGCCTCAGTAGCTTTGTTTATGTTAATTAAAATATTCCTATTCCAGGTGAGGTCCACAAGTTATGCATTATGCATAAAATTAGTCCATTGGAGCTGAAATAGATCTTCAGATGTGTATATAACTGATATCATATATAAATTGTCAGTTCCTAAATAAAATGAACAGCATATGTCCAATCTGTGAAAATGAAATTGATGGTGCACATGTGTGTCAAGACTGTAAGCAAGCTGTCCATTTATTTCTCTGTGGAGACCCTGTTCCAAATTCCGATGAAGGCTTTGGTCAGCCTGTAATTTGTTTCAAATGCAAGGAAAAGCAACAGCGTCCAACTAGCTCATTGGCTCCTGTTGGCCATGGTGGGTTAATTATTAAATATCAAGTGCATCTTCATAATTATTAATGATTATTTATGCCATTCGCCTATGGTATTGAACTTTCAACTAGTTTTGTGACTTTATAGGTACAAAAGTGTCGGCAAAGATGGATGCACAATGGGCAGCCCTGTTTGAAACAAAAAAAAACAAACAGTAAAACAAAAACATTAGAAAACCAATTGGGGGAGAATAAGGAAATGTATTTTGTGTGTGTTACATGTCTTGAAAATAACAAGCCTTTTATACAGAGTAAGATGACAAGAAACAATGCATCTACTATTACAAGACACAATCAAAGACATCATACTGACGGTTCTAAAAGCTGGATTGTAGGAGGTGACAGCACAGTTGCACAAAAATATGTGAAGAAATATCAGACTTTGGCAACCAGTTTTGAGGAGTCAAAAAGTACGAAAGGCGAACCACCTTCAAAGATGAAGAAAACTAACAGTTCTAAACCAGACGCAATGCCTGTGAATGATGAAAGGCCTAAGCAACAAAGCTGCATACCATTTCAGCAGGAGCCAAATACGAAAATCCCAAACATTGAACCTAACATGGAAAACATGATGAGTATGTTACAAAGGATACTGATATCCGTGGATGCCAGCAAGAAAACAGACAGTGTTCCTGTTCTTGTCCAGTCAGATCCTGATTTTAGAAAATACAATTTTAAAAGTTATTCAGATATATCAGAAATCGCTGCTAATGTCGAAGATATCGTTTTCATTCCGGCAGGTAAGCGTTGTAATTATTCATTAATTAACATAAACTTATATATACTTATATTTCAATTATAATCATATACATTATAATATTAATATAGGTGATGGAAATGAGCAACCACGAAAAGCTATACTTCGATGTAATACTTGTCATAGTTATTTAAAGTCTAAACCAGGTTCACAAAAGGCCTCAAAATACAGCGGGAGTCTCGCTACAGGCCTTGTTCTTGATAATGAACATGCACTGGACTTACTGAATGGTGGAAATAGTTACTTCTACACAACCAAACATAGGATTATGAATCACGTCTCATGCACAGGTGATGGTGCAAGGATGCACTATGAGGCTATAAAATGGAAGAAAGACATGCATAGAACCGAAACGCGAGCGACATCAGCAATGAATGTCTTAGTACGATCAGCTCTTTCAGTTGTGAAGAATCGAGCTGCAGCTCAAAACTACCCTGAGTTTGTTGCCGACAAGGCAATGTGCGGTGTTGACTGCGGAGACTTTGGTCATAGTAAGGAAGAATTCAAAAATATTATTAGTGTTGCCGAATCATGGATTGATGGCGAGGTATCCAAACAGCTTAAAGCACCACTGAAATGCACTGGTTTAAACCCCCATTTTTCTCTCACTATGGACAAAGGAACTCCAGGGCGAGAAACCAACCAAGCAACAATGATTGTTTTTAATGATGATGGTAAACGTATTGCAGTGCCAGTTGGTTCACCAGCGGTTTACCAGACAAATAATGATAACACCGCAGTAACGGGTGGATATGCGAACGAATTAGCTTCAAGTTCTATTATGCTGGTCAAGAAAAAGTACGAACTTGAAACAGATGAACTTTCATATTGTCAAGGCATTGTTGCTGATGGACAATATCAAAGTGCTGGATTCAGAGACGAATTAAAGAGTTTGTTACCATTTGATTTTGATGCTGACCCCGTTCTAGACACCTTCTTCACCGTTCTATGGGATCCCGGGCATTTTTCTGACTTAGCCTTCACCGATGTTCGAGAGGGCAAAGTCGGAGATTCGAAAGAGTTCATCTCAAGGATAATCAAGAGGTCGAATGTTTTTGGAGCCGCCTTCAATTCCGGGAAACATTTGGCAGAGTTGCAAATGGTTGCCCAGTCATTGGGTGTGAGAGCCCATTTAGTCAAATCGTACAGCATGACACGATTCACAAGCAGCTCTTACTCACTATTTGGCAACATTATAGAAAACTATTCGTCGTATTTGGAGGCGTTTCGTAATCATCAATTCGACCAGATCAAGGACTACATGGTTTCAGGTGATGACTATATCATTGACCTGTGCAGTCTTACTGACGTAATGAAGCCATTTGTGAAAATGATGATATTACTACAGTCACTGCAGTACCCATGCTGGAAGGTTGTTTCATGGTGGAAAAAAGTTGAAGAGTATCTTGCAGGTAAGACAACTAACAATTATACATAATGGTATAAATAATCAAGGTAAAATTGTAATTACTGTTTCTAAGTATGATTTTTGTGTCATTAATGTTTTTGAATAAACTCGTTTTTCCAAGTTTTAGATGAACAAATATTCATAATCTTTTTTGTATCTGCATGCAGGTGTTGCAGAGAACTTTAAACTGGAAACATGTCACGGTTGTCCGACACTAGCAGATAACATTCAAGACATAAATCACATGGTTTTTCAAGGGCAAAAACTGGTTGAAGGTTGGCTAATCGTTGGTGTCGAATCTGGTGATGTCCCAATTGTTAATTGGGAACACAGAGAGCAACATGATTGTGTTAACGACGTAAAGGCACTTGCGCGTGATCTACATGAGTCGATGAAGCAGCGCTACGGTAACGTACCAAGCTATCTTGAAGATCTCCACGATGCATTTGACCTTGAAGAGCTATTTGCTTGCCTCGTTGGTCAAAGAAACGATTCTGGTAGAGCGATTTTGGATGAAAAGAAATTAGAGAAGTGGGGCAGAGAAATGTTTGCGAAGTTTTGCAAGTATTGTGCTGCGTTGCCGCACATTCGCAAAGCCATTCAAGAAGAAGAGCTAGAATTTTACGACGAACTAAGCCATGTATATCACCGTCAGTTCAAACAAGCGATGAAGAACTATATCTGGAGTACAAGCCAAGGGGATGGAATCGTTGGTTCCATTGGCAAGTGGTTTTTGATTAAAAAAACACAGAAAATGGCCAAGAAAGAAGTTGAAAAGTTTGAAAAATACGATCTGTTGTCAACGCGATATCAAAGATTCAGGATAGAAAGCCTAAAGCTTTTACCTAATACGAGCGATGCTTCAACATGTAGACTCCACACACTCTTTTTACTTCGCATTTCATCTTGCAAAGATGAACTTTTGGTTAGAATCAACGAAGAGGCCATTGTTAAGTCCATGTACACGGAAAGCAACCTGTATGAAGCAATTGGGCGACAATACATGATTGCTTTTGACATAGCTCAAGCTAAAGGCTGTCCAGAAGCAATCGTGGAATCATACTACTCGTGTATGGATTCACAGAAAATGAAAGGGGGCCAGTCAACAGATTCTTTGTCAACTAGGTCAAAGATTGCTTGGTGTATGCCTAATGCCATGCGAAACGAAAGAGCTGTAAAGGAAATTACCAAAGCATTCTTGGAGAAGCATAAGAAGCCTGTGCTTAGTGGGATAAAAAGAACACATTATAGTCAGACCCTGGATAGGTTAGGAAAGGAAGAGGCGAAGATTTCCTTTCTAACTTAAAATTTATGAACTGCATGTAGACGTTCTTGAAGTAGATTTTAACAATTATTGTTGTCCTCATAGTTTTAGTACTACAGCAAAGAATCAAAATACTCACTACAACTCAACTACAAAATATCAGCGTATGCGGTATCCCACCATTCCCTGCAAACTGAGCATACGACAGCGGACAGCCTTTAGGCTGTAAGAGGTGTATAAGTAATAAGTTGAGTTGATAATTGATATTGTAGCTTTAAATTGTTAATTGTACACTTCTGTATTTCTGTACACAACACTAACTGCTTTAAATTAACACGTTTTTTCACTCTGTTGCATTTTGGCCGGGTTTTGCTAGTTTTTGTTGCACCGTTTTGTTTTGGCGCAGCTTTACATGAATTTTGAAAATATTCGGCGCGGAAAATTCGAGAAATTCACCCTGGTCATGCAGGAGCTGGAAAGGGAAAACCCTCCATCTTGCATTGTCGACCATCCTGGATTTAACAGTGTGTGCTTAGACAAGTGGTCGCTTCGTTTAACGGCAACCAAATTACGCACAAGGAAGAAAGAACAATACCGTCAAACAAGCACAGAAGATAAGTAAGTACATTATACACATGAAATTTAAATGCACAATCACACACTGACATGTTTAAACATGCTCTATGATTTGTAGATTCTATCGAAGCACAGCCTACTGTGGTTGGTTTTTGGGCATCTAGAAGGTATCCCTTACCAGCATGTGCATATGAACGAATAAGACGTCATTTTCCACCTACAGACAATGAAGACTTTGTAGGATTTGTAGAGGAAGAGGATAGCTCTTGTGTATATAATTATATTATTAATGTTATATGTTATAATACTCCACATTATATATTATTTCAGATAACTATATATGTACATTTATTGGTTTCAGATAACTATGTACATTTATTTACAACTGGTTTGGTTTTACTGCTGTGTTTGCTTTTGATTTTTGGGACAATCCTTCACTTCTTTGTGTCCCTTCATCAAATTCTTGCACAAGGAACACCTTGGAGCTGCTCTGCCAGAGGCTGCTTTAGCAGCCTTTGCTGCCTTTTCCTGAGCAAGAACAACTGAAACTGAGAAAAGTTATTTATTACTATTTTAACTTAACTAATGAGTTATGATTGTGGCCAAAAATATTATACTGTACATACTTGGTGTTGTTGGAGGAACATCTTCCACAACAAGATTTTTTCTAGCCTTCTGCTTTTTGATGGCAATTTCTTTCAATTCCTTGTTTTCAAACATGGTGTTCATGGGGGCAGGTGTCATCTCTTTTAATTTTTCAGAAGCTTTCTTGAGGGTGCCATTTCCAGATGCTTTTAGGAAAGTCTGATATATCTCTTCCACATATTCTAATGACAAAGATTTATTTATCAATACTATAACACACATCAGTCATACTTCATTAATGCTCATTGCACCATTCATTCTTTTAACTTCCTTACCAAAGTTTTGTTTTACTTTGCTTTCCCTAACAGTGGCATCGCCACCTTTAAACTTTGGATAAGACACCTTGACCTGTGGTGTACCATCTTCATGGAGTTTTGCCTTACGACATAAGTTAGCATTAAAATGGATTGCTGCCAAGATGTGTCTAAATTATGTAGAAATTTTAATCAAAATAATAAGCTAGCTAACCAAATCAGTTGCTGTTAGTTTATTACTAATAGAGTAAAACCAACCTGCAGTATATACCAGAAAATGAATAAGCATTCATTTTTGGGGAGAACTGATTGATGACAGAGTGGAAACCTTCCAAACAACTAGTTTGGTCCAACGGTGAAGCTTGTTTAATGCCCTTAACAAAGGACTTCTTTAGCATAGCACCACTTAGTTTTGTGTAGGCTGGAGAATCTATAGTTTATTGTGAAAAAAAATTGTATCACATTAATAACATCTGGGCAGTATGAGCGAAGAGCCATTTTTACAAAGCATACCAGGTAGAATCCACTTTCTTGGAGTCAGTTCACCATGAACACATTTATCATACAATGGGTCATCAAACCCATCATGTTTGTCAACAATATGACCAAGGAAAGACTTGAACTTAGCCAGTATAATCCTGCCATTTCCTGAGTAAGTAGATGTGGCACTCCAGTAAAGGTGGTTTATACAGGGTTGTATCCACTCTGCCAGTTCTTCACAATCTGCCTCTTTAGCCAGCTTAGTCAAGACCTTATGCAGCTCTAATTGAAGTGAAAAATACATAGGTTGAGTAAAACAATTGTGCAGTGTACTTATTATGATGTGTATTTATAAACAAAACTGCTGCAATTAAATAGATACTTACTCTTTTTCAAGTGCCATATGTCGAAATAATGTTTTATCTTTGGTAGTTTCTCCCTCATGTGTTTTGCTATTGTTTGATGTCTGTCTGAGACAAAGGTGGAAATGTCCAGGCCTTCAGCTAGGAGAAAGTTCAAACATCTTTGGAACCCTTCAAATTCCATTGCAGGGCTGCTTCCAACTTCATTTCTCTATAAAAAACTCGAATCAATTATATGAGCAAAAAAGAGCACTTGAGTTCTTTTCATTGATATTACCTGGATCAAACTAAAATCAATTATTTCAGCTGAGGTACAACAAAATATTGTGTAAGCACCATATTTTGCACTATGCCCCATGCTATCGTGCCGTCCATCACCAGAAATAACCAAAGATTCCAATGCTTGTAACCGATCCAGAATCTTTCTTCGGTAATCTTCCCAGTGAAGAAAGATTGTTGGAAACAACATTTTCTTAAAAGAAAAATCACAACTGGTATAGTAGAAGTTACACCTCAATTTGCTCTGGGGTCTAAGACCTGAGTCAGTTATATATATACATACCCCTTGGTGTCTATAGTAAGATTCATTGCACATTCCAACAAGTCCCATGTGTCGAAACATGTTGAGCACTTTAGTGGGTGATCCTCCAGATACAAGAATAGCGAAACTTAGCAGGAAATCGCAAGCGTTCAGTTTTGTCGTAGGCATCAGTGGTTGACTTCTCCATATGTTGTTTTTTCGACTACAAACGGGATTGGCACAAGTTGTCCTCACAATTAGCAGGGTTCCATCCGTCGTAGTTTCAACGAGAGGGCCATCTGCTTTGCAATAATGGCAAAACTTAAATAGCAACAGCAACTGTGACAGGAATATGATGTATTTAGGTTGCTGGCGTAGGTTCTCAGTGGGATTACTAAACGTGAGAAGATTTATAGGTATATCAATATACGACCATTGCAAAATCACAGGATATTCCAACTTTGTACTAAGCTGACCTACAAGCCAAATATTCAGTCTGTGAACTCTATTGAGTATTAAAAATAATTAAAATATACCTTGTGTCTTCGTCTCCGATTTGTCAGACTCGCTTTCATCTCCGCATTGGAAATCCTCGTCGCTGGTGTCCATATCATCTCCTGTCTCTTCACTTCCCGGTTCGGGTTCTGGAAGTGTTAGGGGCATTTCAGCACGGCTTGGTTCTTCCACATTTAGTATATTACACTGAACACCTACATAAATTGGAACGTTTGCACTTGATGAATAGATCATTAAAACTTATAGTGCGCAGGGAAAACCTATATCCTTATTTACAAAGGGGTATTTCGCACAGTATGAAACATATGGGTTTTCCCTGCAGCACATATGTACAGTACCAAAGATAAAAACACGCTACCTTTGGAATGTTTTACTTTCACCAGTGCATCGTACTTGCTTTTAAGCGCAATATACTTGTTCCAAGTCTTACGCTTTTCTTTTAGCAAGTACGCACAACCAACACAACCGTCTGTTCCAGTTGAAACGCTGTTTGTCTAAAGCAAGAAGCCAAACACAAAAATGTAGACTCAATCAATGCGGTCACTGTCAATCGGTGTTTGGTGCCCGCAAATGTTACACCGAAATATTTGTTTGTTAAACCTTTATACGTACTTTGTTCGGAGAAGCGTTTTCTGGCAGTTCTTCTCCAACATTTTCCATTGCGTGTTCAGCTGGGTCTGTTTCGTGGCAAGGTTCATCCGGCGCTTTGCCTTGGGCGGTCACACTTCCAGACAACGCTTCTTTTACAACCTTTACAATGTGATAAATATTTGCATACAACGCGGCATATAATCGTATGTATGTATTCAAATAGCCGACAAAAGAAAATTGCACTGTGTTTAAGAAACAGCAAACATAAAAATGATTCTTTACAATTAACAATTAACAATACGTACGAACTTACCATTCTCCTAGCTCTCGCAGACGAGGGTTTGACCACTGTCTCTGCAGTTACTGCGTGGTACTTAGGGACTGCTACTATGCCAATTTCATCAGAGGCTAACCGCGGTACTTTGCCAGAGAAACCAGAAAACATTTGTGTAAAATCTTTCCTGTCAAAATGCGCTGAGCAAATACTCGAATTGGGAGTCGGATCCCATTTTGCCCGCTTTGACCGCACGAAATCAATCCACTGCTTTCGTCTCTTTTTGGCTTCTGGCCTTTCGTCGCCAGAAAACGGTATGAAATGAAGGGAAATTCCTTTCTCCGCATTAGAAGTATTAGAGCAACCCCCGACAATACATCTATTCGGCATATTTTTATTTGCGTGATTTTTTTGCGCCGCCACCTTTCTTACAACAACATCTGAATAATACACGCTAATGATTTTTGTAATATGAATGAGTCAAACCGGTTCCTATTGTGACGTCACATCAATGATTTTGTACCAATCCCTTTTGTGCGGTTTTTTTTCCAAATGCTATGTTTAAGTGGCAATAACTTCTAAACTAAAGTCGCAATTGCAATTCGGTTTTCGAATAGAGTATACACTGCTAACAACGATTCTAAAAATGTAAAATTCATTTTTCTGCCAGGAGCACTTTAACTATCTCTAGGAACACAAAAATTTGCCAAATTCTGCAAAATATCCTGAAAAACGAAAATTTTACATTTGGGACATTTTTTTTTATACACCCTGTATAACAAAACACTTAATGTTCGCTACACCTCGGGAAATAGTGAGTTTTGTTTTCCCTCGAGTCTCAATGTTTTCCTCGACTTCGTCTCGAGAAACATTCAGATTCTTGGGAAAACAAAACTCGCTATTTCCCTCGGGAGCATACATTAAGTGTATATTATTTTTCTCCTTAGTTAAAATCGCAGAACTTCATTCCCCTATACCCTGGGCATTTTGATTCTATAATTTGAATAAGGAATAGGAACTACTCGTAATAAGTATTTGGTAAAGTTTTCAAGGATGAAAATGAACTAGGCTCAGGTTCAGGTTCAATACCATCACAGCAATACGATTATAATGTTTAGGAATTTAACTTCGATGATTGAAATGCAAGTGGATCGACGAAAGTCACCATCGCATGCACGAAAGCTGGATAGCGCTATCCACCGAATAGTGATTTTTTCAACCGTTCTAAAAATGCTGAAAAAGCATTAAAAGTACAGCTTTGGGGCTAAATATTATTATAGAGGATTCCATATTTGTGTATACTAAAGTTTAATCAAAGTCATACCGAACAACGGTCAATTTCAAGCCCATGAAAGCTGGATAGCGCTATGCAACGGTTAGTGCATGATTTCTTCAATCGCGCTAGAAATTAGAATACATATAATTAGAGGACCAAAGGCTTTATTTCAGTTCAACACATAATTTGACGATATCTTTATAGACAATAATTCTGTGGAGTATTACCGCTGTACTGAATACTATGTATAGTTAACACAGCTTAGCTTCACTACTACACCAAATGTAATTGAGCAATAGAAAGGATGAGTCTGAATTGTCTGAATGCCTACCATGCACTATAACCATGCATTACGCACTCTTTCCTTATCTTACTGTTAACAGTTCTTTCTAGTAGCGCCATTGCCTCTAACCAGCACAATATTCCATTTTGCTTCTTTGAAATATTTGGCATTAGATTGCTGATGAATAATAGCTTTTTCAACTTCAACAATCTTCAATCTTGTAAACGCACTTTAGTTTGATTGAGAGATAAAGGTTGTCAACACGCAAATGTATATTTTTCTTATGACATGCAGCAGTCGTTCACATTGTTTCACAAATAGGAACATCGTTAATATATTGAATTTTTCGTTTGCCTCAAGGCCGAAAATTTCAGCTTCTTATTATTCAAAATATTGACTGTATATTAAAATTTTAAGGAATTACTAAAAGATTAAATGATTTAGTGTGGTTTCGGAATAATTGTTTGGTTTTTTGCACAAGTGAATTGACACAAGAACTGTATTTGTTTGCTTATCTCTTTGTAAGAAACGTCGACAAAACGGCTAGCCGCCTTTTTGCAATTTCAGTTTTGTTATATTCACCTGAAGGTATACGTTATGTTCATAATAACGTTATACTCATAATACGTTATATTCATAATAACGTTATATTCATAATACGTTATATTCATGATCACTTGTCGAAAAATACTAAACACGGATATTCTTAAAGAAGGAAAGAATATGACCAACGCCGTGACAAAAACTTACCTTCTCAAATCTTGAAAGCAACAATTCCACTACATGGCAAAGATTCCCCGGAAATATAACAAACAGATGTGCGGAAATGAGGACTTCAATCCTAGGAGGAAAATTTTTGTAATTATCAATGAAATTTAAAATTCCCAATGTTATGCGAGTGTCATGTGGTTATGGAATTTGTATATTTGTGGAGTTTATTTTCGCCAGCAAACATTTCATATTAATTATTTCATTGTGAAAAATGGTCATATAGTAGCTATATAAAGTAAAAAAAGTAAGTTGATTTCTTGGAATGTAGAATAGTTCATCCCAAAGCTTAAATCTCGCATCTTGAACTCTTTAATTGCACATTCAACAGGACACTGAACACGATATTCAAAAACACCATATGACTCATTTCCATCATTCAAACGTTCGAAATTCAAATATTGTTTAAAACCCTTTCCAAACATTTATTAAAAGGATTAATGCACTAAATCGATAAATTGGAGTTTAAACTTTAAACGTTGTAACAAAACAGACGGTATCAACCTAAAATGTGCCCAAAAAAGAGATGTTGTACCAACATTTTTATCGCAAATTTTGTATTTCGCGCTGCAAAAAACAATTTGCATAATTTTACTGCAGTCTCATTTTTGACATGCTTTACCTAGAGGATCGTAATAATAAATACGAGTGCTCCAAATGTCCACCAACACTGCTGACCAATGGGCATTGCTTGTGTTCATGGGCATCAACAGATAGTCAAATGATTCATAATCGACTATTTTTTGAGATTTCATCGCCATATCATGCAATCTAGATTCTGATCCATCTATTAGAACAAATTGCCGCAATCGTGAATAGAAGTAGGTGTTAAAAGCGTGCACGAGACGACCGTTGTTTGAAGCCGCATTTACCAAAAGATATACTGAAATAAGCATTAACAACCTTATCGTTCAGCCATCCAGGTTTTAATATAGTGTATGTATCATTAATCACGGGGAATTCTAATGTTTTTAAATGCTCTCCTGCTAAATCATAACCATTAGACTCTACTGAACAGAAACGTTTGTGCTTGTGCGAAATATCATAGACATTGCATATATTTTCCCTACTATTTACACCTATTTTACGTTCTTTGTGTGCACTCTCGCCTGTACGATTCTTTTCTTCTTCGTCTTGACGGGGACCTTGTGAAAGTGGGGCGATATACGATTTCGATGATTGCCCGCGGGAGACACATATTTCCTGACGTAAAATGCTAAATAAACTGTAGATTGTGTATGATATGCGAAATTACTGAAAGTATAGCTCAATGCATGGGATGCAAATTCTCATTTTCCCGCCTTTTTCTGTTCACTGAGCTCTGTAATAACTGGGGTGTGTAGGTTCGGTTGTTTAAATAAAACCGTCAATCAACACGCGTACCTTTTTTCACCTTGTTTAAGAAGATTAATAAAATTGAATATGGTTTTTCATAATCTCTTGTGGGTCAATGGAACAATGGACACAAATAGCCATGCAGAAAAACGTAAACCAAAATTGAGAATAAACATAAAATTGTTTTGTTTACGCACATTTTATCTATAAATAGCCTACCTGACAGTTTTATTATTTTCGCCAGCGAACGGCTTTGGATGCGTCAGCGAATATTGCTTTTAATATTAAATTATTAACCGAATAATAACTTCAATAGTGCCAAAAAACCTGAATACTTGTTCGATCGTAAGAGAAATTCGCAAGTTGGACACAGCCTTATCACCCCCTCATCCGCACTTTACCCCTCATCCGCATTTTATCCCCTCATCCGCATTTTACCTCTCATCCGCATTTTATCCCCTGATCCGCATTTTACCCCCTCATCCGCATTTTACCCCTCATCCGCATTTTACCCCCGCATCCGCATCCGCCATTCGCAATCCGTATCCGCATTTTATCCTTACCCGAGAAATTGCGATATATTAAGACATGCCTGCGCATTATTAATAAATTAAGAAACGCGTACAAAGTACTCGTTAAACAATCAAGTGATTCCTCTTTCGAAATGTATGAAATTCTGTCTCAAACTCAAACCGCACCAAAGTGTGAAGTACGCACGACATTCGACACGTTTGATTTCAAGACGGAATTTCATTGTTTTTTGCCCAACCCACTTTCATGTTACACACTGTTTCAGTCTGTTTGAAAGAGCATATTATTTCCAACTAAATACAGAGGTTTAAAGAAATTCTATAAAATAGCAGCTGAGAAAATTGTGATTCTTTAGGAATTACTGTCGCCCGGCTTTGCTGCGCGCTAATAGGTATTATTAATTAGTTTATAAGAGACGCGCGTGCAAATATGTTTGATTTCAAGACGGAATTTTATATATTTCTACGGCCAATCCACTTTCATGTTACATACCGTTTGAAAGTGCGCATTACTCTCTTTTAAATACAAAAGTTCAAATGATTTCTGTGTAATCGGGGTTGAGAAAATTAGGAAATTGTTCTTTGCAGCTCGAATTACAAAATTAGCGATAAAAATTTTGGTACAAAATCTCTATTTTTGGGCACATTTTAGGTTGATTCTGTCTGTTTTGTTACAACGTATAAAGTTTAAACTCCAATTGCTCGATTTAGTGCATTAATCCTTTTAATAAATATTTGGAAAGGGTTTAAACAATATTTGAATTTCAAACGTTTGAATGATGGAAATGAGTTATATGGTGTTTTTGAATATCGTGTTGAATGTGGTGCGTATTTCACAGCAGTTATTAATCTGCTTGGTATAAATATAATGAAAAGCGATAACCTGAAATATCTTAGAATTGTAGAATAGAATAGTAACAATCGTTTAAATAAGGCGAGGAATTTATTTCCAGTATCACACGAAATAACAACGCGATCATAACGCTGTGGAATAATGCGAAGCCACTTAGATGATAGTCCTAAATATTTCGTGTATACTTTTTAAACGAATTCATTTAAAGATTGGTGACCAGTTGAATAAAGGCACAAAGAATCAACGAAGATAATAATTTCAAATCACGAGTGATACGTCTCCCCGAAAAGGAATAAAAAGATAGACGCCAAGCACAGCGCTGTTCCGACTTCCGTGTCGAGATGCACATACAACCTGTGATAGAACTGACCGTGTCTATATATTTACTCTGCAAGTGTTGATGATATGAAATCATTAATAATCACAAACGTACCTTTTAAAACTTAGAAGTTCGATAATTCTGTGGCCAAAACCACACAGAGATATACATACAGCAAATGCGCAGCCAAGCCAACAAACAAAAACCTCGCTCAATCGTTCGATAGATTAATACACGTCAGTGGTCATGTGTTTGCCGCAGCGGTGTCGCAATTGGTGGATTGCGTTTTTGCAGGCTATTACAATTGGATTGGGGCATATTTTATTGCTGCCGAGCGTAGCGAGGCAGCACACTATTCTTGACACGGCAGAAATTTCTCCAGAGTTCATTCGACCCAGTCTTCCGTCGAAATATCGATTCGTGTCCGTTTGTCTGCATTTTCCGGGCCAAAAGTCGATCATCAAGTCACTTTTAAAATTGGGGGGAGTGGACAAAATATTAGAGCCGTCGGTACTGGACAAATGGGATATGCAGGGATATGTTTTCTGCTTTCATACAGATACATATACATATATACATATACATGAAGGCGATGCATGAACGTTCATGATTCTCAAAGCAATGTTTTCATCTTAATCTAGAGCGGTGCTTTCATTAGTTTATCGGCTTTAGCTTATATGGTTCTTATATGTCAAATATTGAATATATTATAGCTTATATACCCAAGCGAATGGATATTGTTAACACGTAATTGTATACGCTGTAACGCAGGATCGGAACAAGAATATATTTCAGAACAAGGATATATTTCTTCCCGCACTTAGACAGATACATATACATCAAGGCGATGAATTTTTATTTTCAATCTAGCGCGGTGCTTTTATGAATTTATCGCCTATATCAGTATATTATGGTTCTTATGACGTACTTAATTCATAGTAAACAATATGGGGATGAATATTTGCAAGCGAACGAATATTGTAGGTACTAGATAAATGGGATATGCAGTAGGGATATACTTTTTTCTGCTTTTATACAGATACATATACATGAAGGCGATGCATAAACGTTCACTGTTCAATCTTAGAGGAGTCCTTTATTCGTTTATCGGCTACATGGTTTTCATGGCAATGCCTCATCTCAATCTAGAGCGGTGCTTTCATTAGTTTATCGGCTATAGCCTATATGGTTCTTATATGACAAATATTGAATATATTATAGCTTATATACCTAAGCGAATGGATATTGTAATGTTCAGACACACCGGACGCGATTTGACAACGCAACGCGATTTTACGATTTTCACTGACCGATAACTTTGATCCTGGTTCAAATTCTGCATATATTTAGACGCGCTATAACATTTTAAATTATTTGCTTGACATATTTTTTAAAATCTTCTCTCATTGAGTGTTTTATCAGCTTTTGGAAACTAAAAATTCGCGTCGTGTTGTCGATTCGCGTCCGGTGTGTCTCGGCCTTTACGTAATTGTATACGCAGTAACGCAGGATCGGAACAGAAGATAGACATTTTCAGAACAAGGATATATTTTTGCCGCTCTTATATATAGATACGTATACATCAAGCAATGTTCTCATCTCAATCTAGAGCGGTGCTTTCATTAGTTTATCGGCTATAGCTTATATGGTTCTTATATGTCAAATATTGAATATATTATAGCTCATATACCCAAGCGAATGAATATTGTTAATCACGTAATTGTATACGCAGTAACGCAGGATCGGAGCGGAAGATAGACATTTTCAGAACAAGGATATATTTCTTCCCGCACTTAGACAGATACATATACATCAAGGCGATGAATTTTTATTGTCAATCTAGCGCGGTGCTTTTATGAATTTATCGCCTATATCAGTATATGGTTCTTATGACTTAATTAATTGTAAACAAATAAGTATATGGGTATTGAACATATGCAAGCGAACGAATATTGTAAATGTTATTGAATATTGGATACGCAAAATGTTGATCTCGTTAGTCCATCATTGTTCAGCTCATCTGACTTTTACGGCGAACAAATAAAGTATGGACTGTGGGTATTCAATACTACAGGTGAGGGTGTCCCAAAAGACGCAAACAATAGCCTTGACAATTGTTAGAATTTGAATACCCAAGACAAACTACAAGCAGTGGCATGTTGAATTTTCACGGGTTACGTGCAGTGCAATTACATTTCAGTTCAAGAAATATCATTGCACGTAATGAATTCATATTAGCAATAATCTAACACGTCCCCAATGGATGGAAAATAGCACAATATTCAATACGAATTTCTTAACTTATTTTTAATTGCATGTATCCTGTCAAAATTTTACTCGCTATTGCGTCGAGCTTTTTCTAGGGTATTCGAATTCTAAGCCTATTATTGTTTGCGTTTTTTTGAGACACCCTGTATATTCGACGACAACGCGCAAAACGCCACCGCAACACTTGATATTGGGGAACTGTCAACTAGCTCCATTTGCGACAAGCTTAATAAGCTAAAATCATTATCAGGAAATGAGATCACAACAGTTTAGTTAAAATACATTTCAAAATGTCGATCTCGTTAGTCGAAATGACTATTTTTTGTATTTTTGAGCGTATACAAAATATATAGCGCTTTTGAAGTGTTAGAGCATATCAATTTAACATCCAGTTCCACAAATTAAATAACGAACTTTTAAAAATGTAATACTGTAAGAAAATACAAGACAAGCTTAAACTAAAATCGTTATGATAGGAAAATGAGCCATAATAGTTTAGTCGAAACAGATTTCAAAATGTCGATCTCGCTAGTCGATTGTTGTGCTCGTATAAACATATAAACAACCAATTCAGAAAATTCCGCATGCTGCCTTTAATCCTTGGCCTTACCGGGGATGTTAAGGCAGCAATTTCCTTGCGATAGTAACTCCTAGTAATAAATTTTATAATTTAATTCTCACGCAAGGTTTGAATTTCCTTGTATATACACGCACGCCAGCTCAGGAAGCTGATCGAGCATTTCGTGATTTCGAAGCATGGTTCGTTTTTGCATTTACCAACATAAATTACGATTTAGACGAGATTTTACACTGGTTTATATTGGAAACATAAAAGCAAATTCAAACATGAATTTTAAACGAATGCACTAGTTTTCGCTGCGATGCGGTTCTGATGATATGCTATCGGTTGAAGCGATGATAATAGCTCTGCCCGCCGTGACAAAAACTTACCTTCTCAAATTTTCAAAGCGATAATTCCACTACAAAAAGTACATGGCAAAGATGCCACGGAAATATAACAAACAGATGCGCGGAAATGAAGACTTGAATCCTATGGGAGGAAAAGTTTTGTAATTCTCAATGTAATTTAAAACTCCCAGTGTTATGCGAGTGTCATGTAGTTATGTGTATATTTGTGGAGTTTATTCGGGTCAGCATTCAGCAAACATTTCATATTATTTATACTGATCATTGTGAAAGATGGTCATATAGTAGCTATATCAAGTAAAAAAAGTAACTTGGTTTCTCGGAATGTAAAATAGTTTATCCTAAAGCTTAAATCTCGCATCTTGAACTCTTTATAGTCATTTTCAACCGTTCTAAAAATTCTTGAAAAGCGATAAAATTTTATCTTTGGAACCAATAATTTTAAAAGGGATCCTCGACTTTGGAATACTAAGATTTAATGAAAGTTATAGCAAACAACGGGTGATTTTAAAGCGATTGAAAATCCGGTGAATAGCGCTATCCGGCTTTTATACAACCGCCCCAGACCGCTAAATCTAATTTCCTTGGTATAAATAAAATGAATAGCGACAGCCTGAAATAACTTTGTAGAATAGAATAGCAGCAATCGTTTAAATGAGGCGAGGAATTATTTCTAGTATCGCACGAGCGTTGTGGAATAATTCCAAGCCACTTACTGAGCTGATAGTCCTATTTAGACCAGATTTCACTCTGGTTTATATTAGGAAACATAAAAGCAAATTCAAACATGAATTTTAAACGAATGCACTAGTTTTCGCTGTGATACGGTTATGATGACATGTTATGTTGAGATGGCATGTTGTGAGACCCATTGTGACCTTTATTCCACACTGATCTGATAAAACACTGGATAAAACATTGTAATAACTATATCTTTCAATCAAAGGTCTCACGGACATGAGACGACTCACGGATGCACGAATAGCCGATCAATTGTTGGCTAGTAGACTAACCAGACAAACAAGTTTTTAATCCTAAGCGCGCAAAGCAGGTTGGTCTAGTTAATGGCACTAAAGAATGCGAGACCCTTAGCAATGACTCCCTGATACTTCTACGGAGTATCCATGAGTCAAAAACGAAACCAGAATGAATGAAGACAGTCTCGAAAACCAAAAAAAGGCGCACAACATGTTTTGTATACGTTCGCTATTTTTGAAAGTTGAATAAAATTCACAAGCGTGTCAAGAGGGAATGCTACTCATGATAAATGGTTAAAACGGAAACTAATCGTTTCTACTGTTAAAGAATTCTTCCAACTTGACGGAACTGTACATACAACTCCCGACTGAGAGTGAACGCTCCAGGTTGGGTTTTCCTTGAATTGTGACTGGGTTCTTCTTCGGCTTGTTAAATAAAGGAAAAAGCGTTGGCGCCAGGCCCTCGCCACCAAATAGCTGAAAAATAAAGAATTGTGCATGATTGTGACAAGAACGAGGCCGTGAAACGATTAAAAATTTCTAACCAGTAACCAAAGCAAATAGAAGTTAGATGTTAGCTCGAAATCTGAAACATTATGGATTTCCAGCACTTCCAGTGGATAGCGCTATCCAGCCTTCGTACAATTCGCCACTGGTACACCTCGTCGCTCCCCCCACCCGTAACGTCGCTTCCCCACCCATAACGTCGCTTCCCCACCTATAACGTAGCCCCCCACCCATAACGTCGCTCTCCCACCCATAACGTCGCTTCCCCACCCGTAACGTCGCTCTCCCACCTATAACGTAGCCCCCCACCCATAACGTCGCTCCCCCACCCTTCTCTTACCTTATCTTCAAAACTCCTCGTCTTTCTTGCAACATTTCCAACTGATCTCGATATCGGAATGGAAATCTTCCTACTTTCTTTCTTCTGCATATTTTGCATTTCAAACAACCGCTGTTTTAAAGCAGCTATACGGTTACCCTCCGCATCCTCGGGAAGGCTGGGCGGAGATTTGATCCCGGCACTTTCACATACCGGAGATTTTACCGCGGTTCTTTTACCCTGCGTATGCTTCTGCAGCGATGATCTACGCTTTGGAAGTTTGATAGTTGCTGGAGGTTTTACGGCCGATCCCGATTGATTATTCGGGCCATGATCGGTTTGGTTCGCTACTTTTACATCGTTCCCAAACGCGTGTCGGTTTGCTTGTCGGTTTCCCACGCTAGGAGGTAGATCGGGTCTTGCCGGCGGCCGAATAATATTCCCTAGCTGTTTGCGACGGGTATCGCTTAGTTTTCGTCCGACAGGCCTAGTGTCCGATCGAGGTTCTTCAGCTAGCTAAGAATGAAATGAAATAGTGCTATAATGTAATTCGTTTAAACATGAAATAGTGTATATGTGATTGTGTTTTCGGACTAATGGCCTATAGTTTTCACTTAGTGGCATTGAGTAACTAAGGGGCTGTTTACATGAGCCCGGTTACCCGAGATTCAACGAAGCGTGAGATGATTTTGAGGTATTGAAATGAGCAGATAACATGATCCTGGCAGTCGTATAATCACCATAACAATAGCATGTGCTTGTTTAGTGTCATAAAGACTTATTTTAATACCTCAAAGTCATCTCACGCTTCGTTGAATCTCGGGTAACCAGGCTCATGTAAACAGCCCTTAAATCAGTTAAGCCAATATCGACGATGCATGTTTCACTTAGCTTGCTTTGTAAACACGTGAAAGAGATTCTATACATCTCTCAGAAGAGTTGTCGGAATAGAAATCCATTCTCACAGTATCTAATCGATTATATCCTTTCTTTTTCATTATCAAACGACTGGAAATTTTTGTGATTATATTAAATTAAAAGAACTATAGCTCAGACAGAAACTTAAAACCGAAATAAAGTATATTTCAAGAGATATTAAGTTGTTTCAACCGAGAAATACCCGTATATACTGTAAATACTCTTATATACTACAATAAAGGCCTGTTTACACTTGCAATTTATGCTGCGAATTTTCTTCTTTTGATAGATGTGAACGAGTGAATTAGTTATACTAATGTTCAAATAAGACCCCTTTTACATCAGAGCATCTGTAACTTATTGAGTGTACTCGTTCACATCCATCAAAGGAACAAAATCGCATACCAAGTGTAAACAAACCTGCAGGGATATCTCCTACTTACTACAATAAACCAACATTCTTACCTTTGAAGGTGGATTAGGTTTGGTTGGCTGCAAATTGATAACCCCTAGCTCCAAACGAGGCCCTTCAGTCGGTCCTCGGGCATCAACGTTGCTAGGAGACTCAGGTTTTGCCCGACGTAAAATATCCCTGATGTTTTTTGGGTCAGGGGGGCGCGGTGGTTTCTCGGGCTTTCTCGAGTCAGCTTTGTCTTCTTTCTGGCGATTAAATAAACTTAGTTTCTTTCGCCCAGACGTTGAACCGAGGTTTGTCTTGCGTTGGTTTGCATCCTCAAGTTCGGCAGCTGAATCGGACGGTACAAGACTATCGGTGTCATTACAGATCGTGTCGTAGTTGTGAGTAGAATTTCCATTTCCTCTTACCGAGTTGAAGGCCCTTGGAAAGATTTCAAAAACAACGTAGTTTCATATTGAGACACCAACGGATGTCCTCATGCAACTATCATATCCTGGTCAAACGGGGATGAGAGGATAGCAAGCGAAAGTTTACATGAGTGTTTTCTTAATTATCATTACATGAGTGTTTTCTCAACTATCATATCCTGGTCAAACGAGGACGAGAGAAATAGCAAGCGAGAGTTTACATGAGTGTTTTCTCAACAATTATGTCCTGGTCAAACGAGGATGAGAGTTCATGAGAGTTGGCAAGCGAGAGTTTACATGAGTTTTTTCTTAATTATCATAACATGAGTGTTTTCTCAACAATTATGTCCTGATCAAACGAGGATGAGAGTTCATAAGAGTTAGCAAGCGATAGTTTACATGAGTTTTTTCTCAACTTTCATGTCCTGATCATGCAAACGGCAGTTATTTTCTAAATATTCACTCACCTGCTGACGGCGACCCCAAGACCATGAAAACACATCAAGAACGCCGACAGGACCGAGCCGACGACATTCCAGGGCATAATGCAAATAACATGACGTCATAATGGCAATTTTCTAATGACGCACCGCGAGAATCACGCGCGCGACCCGCAAAGAGTTTGGGAGAAAGAGCGCGAAAATTAAGTACTGGAATTGATTGGGTCGAATTGCCCAATTTCGCTTAAAAATGGACTTGGAAAAACGGATTTATCATTTTTAATACACATTCTAAAGGCTAAGAGCAGTTGCCTGCTTCTGAAATCCCGAGAGTATTACAACAGCTTGTTTCGCGTAAAAAAGCAGAGAAAATTCAGCAGGGTTTGTCTTAACTTTAGATATAATGAAAGTGTGACGGTGAAAATTGTTTTTTATAGACCTTTGTCTTTGAGGAAAAAGCATGGCTCTGTTTGGCCAATGCTATAGCTCAGTGAGTTTCCCAAATATGCAGAATGAAACTGCGTAGACTTTCTACACAGTCTATTGAAGGCCTACATGACTTAACTATTCCAAGAGCTTACAAAACAAGGCAAATAGGAAGACATGTATTTGTGGTTGGATTTTTAATTGCTGTTTATAGTTCATCCTTTGGAAAGATGGTTTCCATTGTCTTTTGATGTTTGGTGTACTAAGATGTATCAAAAAACGCAAAAATATTTAACTCCCCGACTGTTAGAAGAATTCAAATTCTAACAATGGGTGATTTCAATTATTTGTAGGGATTTTTTAGAGACACGCCTTTGCTGAATCGGTGTGTCCCATGCAGGTAGGAAAAAATCCATTTTGAATCAGATGATGCACATTAACGTGTATACAGCGAATACGCTAAGGATCATCCCCTGTTTTGTTGCATTCATTGTCAGACGCAGTTCTCTGAGTAGCTTCGCAACTCTTGCGATGCTGTGTTAACTGCGCAGCCCAATCCTTCACCATAGGATTATCAAACTTTCCTATACAAATGCCAAACACGCATTTCAATCGAGTATAACTATACCAACGATTGCATAGTTATTGTTGCTACTGTGTGTACGTAACATGCTATTATTTCTGCCCCGTGCACGAGCATAGCAAATAATTTATTTCGTTCTTCCCTCGTTCTTCCTCGTTGCTGCATGGGGAACATAATCTACATGTTACTGATGCAGGGCACTCAAAAATGATTGATTGAATGTTTAGGACTTTGTTCTTAGGATATGCACGACTTTCTCCACAAAGAGATCATTTTGTCTCGTGAAATTTGCATGAAAATTGTATAATTATTGTATTTAATATTCACTATTTTATGAAGAAAAAATATTGCCACTAAATCAATAACAAAGTTAAGATCGCTTATGTATTGGTTGGTTTTCAATGTTTGAGAATTTGAAAGCCTACGGTACTTCCATGAACAAAAAATCGTATTTTTGACAGCTTTATTGCCACAATTAAATGACGATGATTTCAACCCATTATGTAATTCGTATTTTAGACGTGTTTAAAACACTTTTGCGGCATTTTTGCTAGCTCAACTAACAATTTTCAACATCACCAAAATTGCAGTACATAATAATATATTTAAATCTACTTTGCAGATAAAAGCTTAGGATGGCTCGCATTCAGTATGCAGCTAGTTGTTGTAAATCGTATTCAAAGACGGCGCTCATGTTGTAAATGCAGCAAATACACGTACGACAACAAAACTATAGGAATCCCACTGACGTCAGAGTGCAACTGGAATAAGTTGTATTATTTCAAATAGTATTTTCATTGGGATTCCTTTGAACAAAACTACGAACTGTAACTACAGCCGCGAACAGTTTAGAAACAGATTATGCGATTAAAAACAGATTCTGAGATTTAAAACAGATAATTAACAAATTATTGATGATTCCATTCTAACAGTTTTAAAGCAGCAGCTATGAATGAACGTCCCCCCCCCCTTATACGTGTACATATGTAGTACAAAAACGTTGCTGCAAACAAACTCGCATAGTTTGGCGGAATTTGTATATACACATTGACGAGTTACTCAAACTTACCTTCAGTCGAGTTGAAAAATTCCTGAAGATGACCACTCTGCCCAGATTCTACACGGGAAATATACAGGGTTTAAATTGAATCATAAAAGGTGTTTCGGAATGAAATATTCGATTTAATAAAACCGATTTATATACTTAAGACACGAATAATTATAAATGCTCGAATGTTCAGGTTCTGCCCTAATAGGAACATCCACAACTTAGATCCACTCATATATAAAAAGAATCGCAAAGCTGTAGAATCAGTGAAGAAAATTGTTCTGACCGAAGGTGTGGGGTTACTTGGGACTTCAGTTACATGACACAAATCAAGTTACAAGTGTCAAGCACAATATCTAGTTTAACGACTTTCGGCTGTTTAGTTTTCATAGGTACGGTAAAAATACGGTACAAAAACATGTATCGTACGTGAATTTCAGGGTACAAATCTATCGAAACGGAAATATCAATGCAATGTTACACTATGCAACTTTTCTTGCAATTTGCACTTCAATTCTTCTCTTCCTGAGGTATTTAAAGTTGTCAAATACCAAAATTTCTTTAAGATCTGCTAACTCTAAACACGTAAATAAAATATTTTCCATGCTGGCTGGCGATTCAATTTCTTAAACGTGATGTTTGACACGTGAAAAACGCGAAAAATGTTAACGGCTTGAGCTTGGACGGAATTGCTGCATTCTTGCAAAACGAAACACATTGTAAGATTGGGTACCAGTTTTCTTATGATAAACCCTTTGGATAAAACTGTATGGAGCAGTGAAATGAATATAACTGTATGGAGCCACCTTTAGTAACGCTTTGAGAATAATATTTCGCGCCAAAATAAAGTTGAAAAGATGGCGGCCGCATTTCGACTTAAAAAAAACAAATATTGTATGATCGATCGCTCACCTTGTTCGTACTGATGTGCTTGTAGGATCATATCGAAGCGATCCAAATTCTTTACGAACTTTGCTTCTGCGGTTTCCTGGGCTTCATACTCCTAAAAACCAACAAAAATAACGAATAAACAACAGACTTTATTATACGGTCCTACTCCTTTATACGGTCCTACTAAACACTGCCCGGGACTGCCCGAGACTGCCCGAGACTGCCCGAGACTGCCCGAGACTGCCCGGATGACTGAATTTGTCCCGAATATCAACTTGCTCGAGCATCTTCGGTTCCGAAGAAACCGGCCACTTTTTTTTAAAGCAATTTCTGTTAAATGGAATTCTATTAAAATAGTTTAAATAATTTATTGTACTGTAATTCATAAATCATTTATTGTATTCCAGGGCATATGAAACAATCGTATGCTTGGCATCGAATGTATTATGATATGATAATAACAACTACCTAAAATAGACAAAAACATTTCTTGACTTTGCAAACTATAGTATTAGCATACTGTAGCAGCCTAACAGTTAGGTGCTGTAATTGTCATACCAGTATGTCATGTATGACATCATACTGCAGTGCTTGACTGTTGGGCTACCTATGGTATTATAGGGACTCTATCATACCAACTCTCCTCACAAAAGCCCTTAATTAGGTAGAAAAGTAAGGAAGCGTTTTTGTCTCTTATAGGCAGTTATTGTTACTTGTTATGCCACATTTGATGCTAAGATTTTCAAAGACACTGTCACGCTTCTCCCTGCATGGTCATATTGTCGAACGCTAGCTTGCTTGAATCAAATTAGCGAGCTAAAGATGCACCAAATACGACACACACTAGTGTTGGAAATTCAATTTTAATTTGTTTTCTATACTGCTCTGACTTTATTTACCAAATGAAGTGAAAAAATTCCAATGTAATTGATTTACATACCTCCCACAAACTGAATAACTCTTGACCAACCTAAAAAAACAAATTTCTATCAATACTTACAACAAGCAATATTGAAGTGGTGCAGCTGACAATAAAATATTGCCAGTAAATTGTTTATTTGTGAAGAACTGTTCAGATAATTAGATTTGTTCATACATAGTCCACTTACCTTGTTCCCAGCAAGCAGAGATATTTGTTTCATCGCTTCCTAAAATGGAATTTGATCAAATTTTAAGTTCTTATAAACATTTTCATAATTACCATACACAAATACCTACACCACTTGGACAAAATTATTTTAGGGTTAAATTTGCAATTGTTAATAAGCTGTTTGCTGGCTTGAAAAAATTATTTTGATAGGGGTCGGTTTCTGACCATGTGTGTCATTGCAGTTATACACCTCAATGTTTATAGTCTCATTAGTCTGTACAAAGACACACAAGATTTTGACTATCAAATGCAATCCTAACATTGCTGCAAATCATGAATGTACTTACATTATTGGATAATTAAGGTGATTAGCATGCTGAATTTTGGGCATGCAAGTAATGACATACACTAATACCACAATATTCAAACTCAAATTGCTCAACACTTCTGTTAGCCTGAGTGTCAACATAACTCAGATGTTGATGGGTGCATCATGGGCTCATCTGTACTCAATGCAAAGCTAATGAGGGTATGTGTCTAGTCATTTGTTAACTGTTAATGACACCTAATTAAGCACAGACAATTAGTTCTTTGAGGATCATATACATAGATACTGGATTTCAAACTTTGTAATAGTGTGCTATAACATCATTACCTTTTCTTTTGCATGCTTCTCATCCTTGTTCACACCACAATAGGGTGTGATGTCCCCAACAATGCATTCTGCCATGTCATGAACTAGTGCAAGTTTCAAGCATCTTTGAATGTTAACAGAAATTTTTCATTAATAATACATCAAAATCCATTGTAACAAATGGCCAAATCGAGTTAAAAGTATAACTGCAGTGAAACACCATTGTGATGAATGCTTTAAAGTCTGTTGACTTGCAATGAATATGGGCACTAAAATAGTACCCAATCCAATGTTGCTATATCAATAACAAACTACGCACATTCCATGCGTCAGAAGTGAATTGGACCTGGCAAACGTGGATTGTATGAAGAGACCTTAACAGTTAAACTCTCTAATTTCAGTTACACAGCATCTTATTTCAACAGGCCGACTCAAAATGTCCAAAATTACATACCTTGCCTTGTTGAGATTGTGATCATCTTGGATGAAAAAGGTCATGACAGCCATCATGTACATATGATCAGCAACATGCTCAGGATTATTCACACCTGACCTTACCCAACCAGTTCTTTTAAGCGACTAAAGATTGAAAAATAGTGTTGGTACATATAATATAAATGCTTCCCCGGTCTTACTGTTTATACTCTGCCCTGTCACAAGCCATTGAAACAAGAAACTAGGTATTTCTGGACATAAAACATGTATTTCACAACATTAAAACAACTTTATAATCCCTAATACATCACAATTCTCATGATTTAAATAAGACTTTAAACATTTTTGTATGTTTTATATTGTGCCAATAAAATCACCATTCTTTGTAGCAATTCAATATTTCCACCAATTACATCCTGTGGCCATACCACTTGCTATAGGTGTATTTTCTAGTCTTTTCAATAATAACTAATCTATATAACCACAGTTAATAGAATATACATGGTTTGGAGACCACATAAAACTACATGTTGAGGTAGATTTATGCCAAAAAATTGTACCTTTCTCATCACATGTCTATTGTATTTTGCACAGATAAACTAATAGCGATCTTTTAATTAACATATTTTTTTCAACTCAAGGTTGAGGAGCTTAGCAAGACAAATGCCATTGGTACATTTGGCTAAAATACAATAAACATGTGACGAGAAAGGAACCATTTTTTGCATAAACGTGGACAATAACATAGTTAATGAGTTGTATTGTACTTTTATTTAGTCTCCAAACCATATATATTCTATTAACAGTGATATAACTCAACATCAACAAAAATTTTATAACCCTCATTGTGCAGGGTACCCAGATACCCCTCTCCCAACTTCGGGCAACCAGCATACCCTTCAATGTCTGACGCCAAACCATTGAAATTTCAACAAGACTTCAACCCCATAAACTTACTTTCAGTTTGCCAACAACTGTCATGAACTGCAATACATCTTGTTTTGACTCAGTCATGTCCAGAACTTGCTACAAAGCTACTTCAATATTTTGATATTAAAGTGGCAATTAATGGTGACTTTATTGATGAAAACTGGGCAGATCTATAAACTCGAAATACATCAGAACTATATCGATTTCAAAACCTGTAGTAAAAAAAGGTTGAATAACCTTTTTCATATGAAGAAAAGTGATAAAATTAGATCATTTTGTTAGAAATTAGGAACAAATCTTTCTGAGTATTTCTGGATTCAATTATTGAGCCTGTGTTAACACCGCAGCGGCTATTCCCAGCAGCATCATTACGGTTTACCGCAGAGCGATTTCCAACATGGCGAAAAGTTTTAGGGCATGTTTTCGCCATATATTTTTACCTAGAAATGCCATTTTAAGATCGTTTTCTAGCACGTCCTACAATTCTTCGAGTACCGTAGTTGACGACGTGAACAATAAAAGCTTTGCGGAAATGTTTGAGGAGACGCCATTTGCCAAACTAGGTCGACCTGCTGGTAAGGTTGTCGAAGGAAAGATTACCCACATTGTAAAAGACGATATGTACGTCGATTTTGGCTGGAAATTTCACGCTGTTGTTAAAATACCGCCAAGTAAAGTTAAAAGGTGGTTTCACATTCCTGTTTCTTTGTGGGACATGACTGCAGTCAATATATTGTACTTTTTATATATATATACATATATATATTACAAATAATTTATATATTGTATCAGTTTCGACTTTTTTGATACATGAGCGTTAACCGAGGGTCCACTCCAATAGTAATCCTGAAACTCAGCGTAAGTTTGTTGCTAAACTTCCTTCTCATATATCGAGAACAGCCAATCTAATTGTAAACTGGTCCCTAAGAGACGCTCTAAGTTTGAGCTACATATGGTAGTTGCAAAACTGGTCATTCAAAATTGAGTAGTTTGCAATTAACTTCATTTCTTGTTTCATTTTAGTCAATCATTCAGCGTGGGTGACGTCATCGAAGTGAAAATAAACGAACTCGAAATGACGGGACATTTTCTTGGACAGCACAAGCGAATAACCTTGTGTGAAGCTGACGTTTCTTTAGTAGATGAAAAAAGTTAGGGGGGGGGGGCATTTTGATTCATTCATTAAATATGATCATTAATTTCTAAGGCATTTGGGAATATATGAATATGGCCCCCTCAATTAACGTTCGATTGACGCCAATGCCTAAATCCATGATTAATCCATGTTGAATATAGTTTAAATCCATGTGAAATATAGTTTTACTGTGAGCTTGAATATTTATTAAATTAGATTAAACTTTGAATACCTAAATGACAAAGTGAAACGATGAAGATGATTTTAAAATATAATATTCGTCGTGTCCCCATTCCCCCAGGATCCGCGGCCGTAAGCTCAGAATATAACCAACTATATTTTTACTTGAAACGCTTTATTTCTAAAAATTTTAGCCAGTAATACATCAAAAGTTCAAATCACATTAAAATCAAATTAGGAAATACGAACAACATTATTTTTCCAAAGTTACTGATGGTAGTAATACACTTCAATCTCGTTAACACGGAAATTGTTGTAATGCCCGGCCAAGAGGGCTCTGGTATTACTTGCTCCGTAATTGTAACCAGAGGGTGGTTTGTAGGTGTGACCAAGGTTGGTGTAGGAGCCTGCGTTCGCGTTTGCGTTAGTCCTGATGTGAAGGTCGTGTCCACCGCCGAAGGTGGGACCATAGCCGTTGTTCGTGTAGATGGCGTTGTTGTGGTTTCGGTAGACCGGCAATTTGAATGGCTTAATGTTGTATTTGTTACGGAATGAGAAAAGGAAGGAGTTGGTAGAGCGTATGTAACGAGCCGATCCTAAAATGAATAAAACCCATGTAAATGGAGCGCCTTCCTCGCGTCGTCTACACTGTATATTCTATTTTGTTCATGATTTCTCCACTCTGCCTTGTACACTTATGGCTGTGCGTTATTCCATGTTGTAGCTATGTGATCCTAGTTATCTCGTATCATTCATTATTGTACCTGTTTCGTTGCTGTTAAAACAGTCTTCATTTGACCAGTTTCTGGCCTCCTTACTGATAGCTTTGCACGAACTAATAACTCAAATTGCCGGAAACGCATTTTTGAATATTTTCCCAAGTTAGTCAGTGACCTGAATTTAGCCTGAGGCGGCTAAAAATGCTCGTGTACGTGCCTTTTGCCTGCAAAGACCTCCCCTCTCCTGCTGACCAGTCACCCCCGCTGCCAACCAGTCACCCTCTCCCGACAAAAGTTTTGCCGGAGCTGGTTACGGGCTCAGACCTACCTCCCCATGATTGATCGGTGAATCCTCCAAAGACGTAGAATCCAGTTCTCACGAGGGTTACGGTGGGACCACGGTGGTCGCAGAGGGAGTGGAAGGTGGAGGATGCAAAACCATGTTTCGATGCACGATAACACAGCTGAAGGCCATGTTTAGCTGGAAGCCATTGTTTCAAGAGTGTGACCCAGTTAGGATGATTGTCCAGTATCAATGAAGCGTGCAGCGCATCTGAAAGAATGAGGTATTGCGTATTCTGCGTCTGTACTTTTAAGTATAAAAATCTTAAATTATTATGAATAAATAAAATCCACATGACGCCTGCGAGGTCCCCCCCCCTGCTTACTGAATTACACATACATCCCCGATTGCCCCCCCCCCTTACACATATACTTATTTCATCTCTCGAACGTACTTGAGATAATCAATAAACATATCCACATCTCACCTTTCTTATCACAGATCAAACCACCAAAACCATCCTTACAAGTACACTTGAATCCCCCTCCGTTCACATTTGTACACACGCCGTTGTTTTGGCAAGGATTGGCCTCGCATGGCAACACTAAAACATGGAAATTTTGGGGTTTAAAAAATTATAACAACAGGATAATTTCTATAGTGTCATTTTTTTGGAACATACAGTAGAAGTCAAGATGATATTTTTTGGTTTTAAATAAAAAATATTTAGCAACGCGGCAGGGAGGGAACTACACGATCTCCATCTTGCCAAATTTTATCTCAAAAGATAAAACGTGTATTTGTTTCGGCTATTTTAGTAAAGGACATATTTCTGAAAATGAAAGTCATTTCCTGTGAAGATAAACACCACGAGTCTAAATCTCAATGTTTCAATCATAGAACTTTGATACTTTAAATTGGAAGTACACAAACGGTTATTTTAGATTTTGAACTTCTATACTTTAAAATACAATGTCTGTGTTAATATCTAATAATGTACTTAGGTTCGTTTTGCTTCTAAATGAACGTATATTGTACACATGCGAAATTTGGGCAAATTTTTATAGAAAGGGCCCACCATTGTTAGGAGCAGAAACGATGCGCAGAATGGACATGACTTCCAGTTTAATGTGTGCAGTATTGAAAATTCCTCAAAATATTTCTTGGTACTACTCACCCTTCTTTGAACAATCGGAGCCCTTGAATCCTGCCCGACATGTGCATTTGAAACATGTTTCCCCATCATTCCTACACGTCCCGCCATTTTTGCACGGATGGCGGTCACACGGTAAGACTGGGAACAAAAATGTGATAGTTGAGTTGTGAAAGAAATAAACAAAGGAAAATCTCGTGTTTACGAGGAAAAAACTCGACCTTTTCCATACCTTTTTGCTCACACAAGATTCCTCGATAATTTTTAAGACATCTACAAGTGAAAGTTCCTCCGGATGCTAAAAAGCATTTGCCACCATTTCTACATGGCCTCACTTCGCAAGGGGTTACTGGGGAAGAGAGAACATAATTCATTAAAATTTATTATTAACGACTGATATATACCAACTGGAATACGCATCCGCTATGAATAATTGGAGAATAAATAGAGGTCATTCTGAGTGGTGCTATTTTAAATTTAATTTGCTATCTAAAGATCAGACACTTTATACACATTTCTAATTCAGGAAAAATCATATGAAAGTTGACGTATTTATGTATTGTAACTTGAAAAGTAGTAGGCAAAAGACCGATAACTAACAATAACCTGGTAGGCTGTACTCTAAAATGTCACTAATAATCAAACTCATTGATTGGGGAAACTTAGTCATGTCGTAACGATTCCATGATGGCACTTTCAGTCTAATAAAAGCTCGATTTTAAGTGTTTTACCTTCAATCTGATTCATAAAAAAAACACGATCCCATTGATCATTAATAAGAGAAATTTTATGCCACACTCAATGAGTGAGAGTGTAAACTATTTAAATTAGTGTTATTTGCATTTAGTAAATATGAAGTGCTATTCGTAGCATTATAATATCAAAGGTTCACGAACAAATTCTCTAGAAACAAATCAAGGTATAAATACTCAATTAGTTACTTTTTTGTGCGCAGTTATATCCTTTGTACCCCGAGGCACATCTGCATTTTCTGTACGTTCCTGAAATTACTCGACCATTGTTCCAGCACACGTTGTTATTAGCGAAGACCGGCACTAAAGAGTAAAAACAACAACAAAAAGCGTTAGCTATATACTTTGTTCGCATAGATTGATTATCTTAAGACTGAAATATAAATCCTCAAATATTCTTATTATAAATATGAGAGCCCAACATTTAACATTTAAGAAAGCCATCAAAACAATTTAAAGTTTAAAAGTAAATATATTTGTAACGTTTCGTCTTTAACCTAAGACATCTTCAGACAAGTGATATAAAATTACATGAGATTTGAATATATATAATCCATTTACATATGTAAATTAATTGCCTACTAAACCACCCCTTCTACTATTAATCTTGACCTCGGCAGACTTTGATTCCAAGCAGAAAAGGGTTTATTCAAAGAAAATTTTAACTCGTTCGGCCCATTGGAAAGAGAAGGACTACTGCAATGGGCTTTAAAATAATACAAAATCAGTGATGTTGTCTTAAAATATTAACAAAGAGGCCAGGATGCGTGGAGTAAAGGGTGTTTTTGGAAACATCGGTCAATTTAGGTGTGGGTCATTTCAATTCTGGGTGGTGGGTGTATTGAATGCACCATTACAGCGAAAAAAAATTTTCTTCTTGTTTCTGGAGCTTGCTCAAAAACCATGACAATTACTAATTATTTCAAGCCACTGTGGGTTTCTATTTCAACTATCTGCAAACTGATCGGCATTAAAAAAGTATATGTGGCTCGGACCTGAGGCCTTAATTAGCTCCTTTCCACTACACCACTGTGGACAATACCCTGTTCTGTGCAACCCGTCAGGAAAGAGTGGTCGTAAGAAAGATGAACGCATTTCCGAACTCAATGCATGGCGAACTCAATATTGTGTCTAAAAGAATAGCAGTCGGACTGACAACTCCAGCAACTTATGTTTCCAATCCTAAGCCCAATCCTATGGAATTCTACTTTGTCTGATCCCATGTAAAGCAAGCGCTATCGATGTTATATATCTTATAGGTGTAGGATGTCAATTGGGACCATGGACATTGGCGAACTTTTTAAATCAAATTTAAATTCAAATAACGCCACGTTTAAGACTGCGACCCAATTCTTCATCCCTATGTTTTTGCGTTGAGAGCAAGTCTACATGCAAAAAATGACAGCTACAGAATACCTGCGTATAACGCTAAGATGATCACCAAAAATACACCAACGAAAACTCTCATCTTGTGCTTGAGTTGCAAGCTTTAATGCAAAGAAGAAAAGGGTAAAAAAGGGGGAAAAATTATTTTACAACGCTTATTACTAACATGGGGAAAATATGTTTGTGAAACTGCATGCATCCAGTATAAAAACCGCATGTGGAAAACTGGTCTTAACAGTTCAGTTTAGAATCCTGAGAAACTCACCTTCAATTTCTAAACGTTCAGCTCAATCTTGCTTGTCGCGTAAATGGTGTGTATCCCTGAAGTCCTACAGCTCAAACTGGCTGATATCAAAACCAACCAGTAGCTTTTATGCTTTCAATCCCACGCCAGAAATTACACAAAGAATATTCGCTCGGAAAAAATGTTTCATTTGAATTGATATTGTGAATTCCATCGTGACATTCCCAAGTCAATTTAGGCGATTTTAGACACTCTCATCAAATAAACTATAGCAAGTGATTCCGCCAAAATTTACCAAGTCAATTTCGTTTGAACTGCTGTTTGCAGACGAAATAAAAGCGACTACATTTTATTGCTAAGTGCAAAACGTCTGTCATAGCTTAGAAAATATGCTGAATTCTTTAGGATGTCGGCTGACATGCAGTATATTTTACTAAAACTAAGTTGTCCAACTATTGAATACCTGCAGCCACAGTAATTTACTTGCCAACTATTTTAGAAAACTGTATACTGAGTGCATGGGTTTAACCAGTGCCGACAATTCCAAAATTGCTATGAGTTGAATTCTTTACTTATGAATAAATACTTTAAAATATTTTGCATGTTTATACGACACTTTTTCAACTCTTCCCATAAAATATGGAAGGAATTGTCCACTCAAACACCTTCAAACATTTCCCATTCATAACTCGAAGAAATACTCTGCATGCACTCTGCATTTGTGGCTTGTCCTAACAGATAACCTTCCATTTGGAAGCAGATTATAATCTTGTAAGGCAAACAAAATTTGAATCATTATAAACAAGTCGACTGAGCGCTGAAATTCAATCAATGAACTCTCAAAATAAAAGTTTCAAAAGTTTGCAAATTCGCTATAATTTTCGCAAAATACGTGTGAACGCTAAGCGTAACCGCAACAAAATATTTGCGGATAAAAAAAATTCGGATACTTTGGATGGAATCCTAATTTAGATCAGCATTTTTGATAAGGCTATTTAATAACCATAGAAAATGTTATGTACTTAAGGCAAACATTTTCTTTGTTTGATGTGATTCACTGATTTGGCCACTACAGTGACAGACTTTCAGCGAAAATATTCAGAAAAGCACATAATTAACCCAGTCATAAAATTTAGCTTTACTTATGGAATCAATCAAAATAGTTTTAACACAGAAAATGTTTGAACAAGGATTTAAAAAACGTTCTCGAGCTCAAAACTTACGAATTTAAATAATCACACTGACACCATATCACCAGCCGGTTTCACCCGATTTCTAGCTTTCAGTTGTGATGAAAAGTATTATGTTTTGTTTATGTTTAAAATCTACTGGCACCTCAATACAATGCGCCAAAGAAAGTTCAAGGGCAAATTAATGGCGGTCAGACAAAACGATGTTCTCATGCAATTAGACCCCCGTCTAAAAAAATAGGTTCAATCGTCACTGCCACTGGTATCGTCATGCAATGCGTTAAAGACAAAATTTTTATTTTTCCCTCCAATTGCGAATTATTATCTGCTGTCTTGCTCGCTTGTTTGGTTCGCTAGCTGCGGCAGCAATTATAATCTACTTGTGGGAGATCCCAAATTAAAAAGCAAGCTCACTTTACACCACATCAGTTTCACATATATAAGCTTTGTAACAACCCGTGAACCGGCTTAGATATAAGAAACGAGATCACGAGATGTTTTAAAAGAACTTCACTGGCAACTCCTGAAAGAACGCTTTAAACGAAAGAAATTAATTTTTACGCACAAGATTAGGAATGACAAAATGCCAAGTACCACAACGAATATGTTTGATATTAAAACAAACTCAAGGTATAACCTCCGTAGCAACAACCGAGATTTCAGCCTTGACAAACCTAATACAAATTTCATGAAAAAAAGCATAAGCTATGCAGCTGCTTCGGCCTGGAATAATTTACCCCCAGAGGCTAAAGACCCAGGCTTGAGTAGCAAGAAGTTTAGATCAATTCTCGATCACTATTCTCTAGAATGATAAAAATTTTCGATGTCTATTGTACTTACTTAAGAGGTTGGTAACTTATTTGTATGTATTTGTATAGTATAGTGTGTTTCTAACCTGTAAACGAACGGCCTCTAGAAAATCAGGTGCGTAAGGGCCCTGAAGAGCTACCGTTCTAAAATATTTTTAAATGAATAATAATAATAAAAATAATATAACGAAATTCAAGCCAAGTTTAGGAAACTTTAATCGAAATTTCATTCGACTTATCGACTACATGATTATTGGTCAAATATGTTCTCTGCCACGTTAAAATTGACGCTGATAAAACACATAACACCGGTTGATAATTCATTTTCTAAAAATTTATTTATTAATAATGAAAATAATTATATCTTGCATACTGTGTATATTAAAATGCGTAATTTAACACAAATTAAACTGCTAATTTAACACACAAATTTATTTTCGAACAGATTACTCGAGTTTTGCATTTTTGAGTTACTGATTTTGTTCCCGTCAGTCAGTTCTGAGCTTTCGTGGTGAACTATTGAGTCTCTGTGTGAGAATTAGCAAAGAGTGGTGTCATCAGCTGTCCACGTCTAGGAAAATGGGAGATGAAATCGATATCTGTTTTGAACTAGCTTAGGACCTCTTGACTCGATCGTCTATAGGTGAGCGCTTGGGTCCTCGGGTCCTCGGGTCCTATGGAGTGGCATGGATCGGAACTCTTGCTTGAGTTGTTGTATATGCCATAATGCCTGGACTATGTGATACGGTTAAAAGCTCGCGAGTTGAATTATTGATCTTCGAATGCTTACTTTGTTTTCTTTCCTGCGTTTTCGTCGCATAGTTTGCCCGAGACTTTCGTGGCTGACTGCTCTCGCAAGCTTTTTCTTTCGTGTGAAACCGTCGTCTTTGCCGACGCTGGCTTTGCCGTCCTCGATCTTTCTGCTTGTTCTACAGTAGACAGGCTTTTGAAGAAGCGACTCTGAGAAAGCTTTCATCATGAAAACCATCCAATCGTCCCTGTCTTCTCTACGGTTGAAGCCCAGGGTAAAACCAGGAGTCGTTTTACTCGCCAACTGTAAACAACTGATCTCGCAATGGTTCAATTCGACCTGGTCAAGCTTAATGGAAGATATCTGTTCGTAGGGTAGAAAATAAAGTGGCTTTGTGTCATGGCGAGGTTTGCTTTCAAACGAGATCAGACCGTTTGCTGTCAGGATAAAGTGCTGCATCTTTGGTGCTTTCGAAAGCCCCCGATTAAAGCTGATCAGATAGTCTTGCTTCAAGGCGAATTGCTTCCACGATAATCTTTCATCTTCAATTTCCACACTAACGATTTCAAATATTCTCCTAACACAGTCCATATCACACGTATTTGGATGCTAAAACTCTCTTCTTATTTCTTGGGGACGTTCACCGTGTTTGGAGTGTGTATAATGTTAATGAAAAAGGGCTCCAACACGTTCTTATATATTTAATCACAAAAGATCTGAAGGGGGCGGAGATAAACACTTACGAGAATGGCTGACTTAAGTTTCAAGTAGAAACAAAGGTGTCTTAGTAAGTTCACCTAAACTACGGTCGTCAACTCACTTTGGATTATAAAAGGTTTCCCAAGTGTTCTCAACCGCATTTGAAGAGTTTTCAGTTCAATATTTCTAATGATCATTCAAACTACGTGCATGTATATACTCGATTATCCGCTGAAAATCTGTGCACGTGTTGAATGAAATGTTGGCAACAACAACGCATAAATAATATGCATTATAACTCCTGGTATTCCTGGTATAATCTAATGAATGCTATGACATACGCAATACGCCAATTATCTCCTTGAAACGTAATCTTTTCGTTTTTTATTGCGTAAATGAGACGTCGCTAATCGCAAAATTATTTCCCTGTTATGCCGCTTAAGCCTGTTAAAGTTAGCATTTAACGTATCGAGATATTCATTCCAAGTTTACAATGTTTATTACTTTTCTGTAAAAACGAATTGTTAGAGCAACTAATTGGCTGTCTCAAAAGTTGATCAATTCTATTTGGTAAAAACAATAAAAATCGGTTTTTTAACCAAATTTTCAGTTATTATAACCAAAATAAAATTGGTCCGATTAATAAATATGAGGTAAATATATATAGTTGGTATACTGTTAGTTGCATGAATTGATAAATTAGTAAGTAGATAGTTATATAGGAGTACTGACGTATTGCATGGGGTGTGCAATACTAGTACTTTAGTAAAAAAAATGCGGCAGCAATGCATTGCGGTTGCACGAATAAGATGCAAACAGTTGTTTGCAGCTCAGCTGAAGGTCCTAGTAGGTCATTCGAGCGTTTATCGCTGTTTCAATCAAGGAGAATAATGGTTCAAATCGCAGGTATGAAAAAATTTGCGGTTATCTATTCAGCTACATACGAGCTGTTTCGCCCTCGTCTGCGGTCGCAATGGATTGTGGGTTTGATTGACATCCCGACATTAATTCTTCATTATTGTGCGGGAGATTACTGACTTATTAACTCTGAAGTGCGCTTGACTTTCTTCAAAACTATGTCGTATAGCTTTTTCACAAATCATTGTTGGATTTAAAGTAGAGAGTTTTTGCGTTCAACTTTGTCTATGCGAGATCAACTTGTCATACTTTACCGGTGTTTAAATGCGAGGTTTGACGTAGAAAGATTCGTGCATCGCGATCATTCCGGTTTGAAAATATAAGGTTGGGTTTTTTTTGTTCAAAAAAACTTGCCCTAAATATTTCAATTATTTCAATGAAAATAACTCTTCAATTAATAAAGGAAAAGTTTAAATTAATAGAAGTTCGACGTATACTATTTTCGTTTGAAAATATATTTATTTGAAGAGCCCGTGTGAACAGGAAATAAGTTGCAAGAGGCTTTTTACGGAAAATGTCTTTATACATGAGATGGTAATGCTAATTTTGGAGCAGATTTACCTCGAAGAAATTTCCCAATAGAAAGAAGGCCAAGAGTCTTTGACAGTATATATATTGTGCTAAAATTTGCGTCAGATAATCACCGCACTGGGCAAGAAATCACGTAGAGTATTGAGCAGTTATTTTTGTACCTCGGCTTTTGCATTTCGGATTGCGTATAATGACGAACTGCAGTCATCATCTAGTTTAGAAAACTAGATGATGACTTCAACAAGAAAAT